AGAGTAGGTACTGAGGACAAAGGGTACATTCTTACCTATAGACTATAGATGAAAACATATTTAGGCAAGGTTTCGTATCAGAAATAAATCTAATTAGAGTCAATTTTCAACATTTCACATTAATTGTTGGCTCAGCCATTGCCAATGTAATGCAAAGATGTGCACCGGGAAGTTTAAACATATTTCAGTGTGGTTGCGTCGATTGTTCTTCGTTTGGTTTCTCGACTCTATTCTTCACTACTGGCTACAATTTCATTGCGGTAAAGGCTATGGCAAGAGCAAAAAACATCAGCGCGATAAAAGCTGCAGCTGATTGATGAATCTCGCGCATTGCGTCCTACAAGCTGTGCGCTTAATCCCAATGCTGACGTTTCACCCCTTCCGTCCATGTGCTCGGCCTTGGCGGAGGCCATCTGGCGCCGGGTCGGCTCCCGGTTTCCTCATCTGGCACATCCCCGATTCCATGGGCTTTTGTCGCACTCAGCGTGCGGATGATGAGTTGGCAGCAATCACGTGAGAAGAAGGAGGCGATTGAATTATGGCGCCATTACAGAGCCATTACCCAGTGCGGGCGTGTCGCATCAGGCAGGTAACGAACGAACTGAGGCCCGCACAAAAAGCCATTACAGTTTGTGCTCGGCATTCCTGTGCGATGACCGAAGCGCTGCCGGCGACCTTCGAGGACGCCGAGACGTCTCCGAATGCCCGACTCTGTCATGGGTGTAATGAACTGGAGCACATCTTTGGACCTCGACGGCACAATGCACGTGATGAGCATTGTGTCGGATAACAACGGGAACAGCCTTATAATCACAGCCCCGCGCGGTACTTTTAAAAGGCGCAGTTGGATATTCGTTAAAACCACGGTTCAAGTAAGCCATGGAGTGACAACAACGCAGACAGAAAAGCCTTTTCAGTTTTCTCCTGGTCATGATGAGGTTTGCTTCAGACCTTATTGGCTTGGTGCTTTCACGTCGTCAATCACCACATTATAATGAGCAAGATCCAGTTGCTAATAACACGGTGATGTGCGGCCACCCGTTGACGATAGCTCAGTTGATGACATTAATGTTCGGCATCCAGAGAACGTGGCTGCTGTTCAGCTAATAATTTTTAATTAAAATAGCCAGAAGAAGCTACTACGGAGTCACGGACATGCTTATTGCCTATCGTAATTACGTAATGTAAATGTGTCATATATAATGTTATGTTTGCACATGCAGTATGGATATTGCTTTGCACTTGCTGTTTTGCATCGAAATCTGATAAGGCCCGATTGCATTGCTCCCTAAACAACAGCTAACGTTATCAAACGTTATTATAGCATATCTGGCAGAAATTGTCACATTGTCACAATATTCCAGAAAATATTCACTGCGTGTGTGAGCAATCAGCCAGGGTACCTTATCTGTAACCTAATACATTGCTCAGACTGGTATCTACACAATAACCCTACACTGTAAACCAAATTGACAAGTCTTGTGTAATATAACCAATCATCTCTTGGTATGTTTGCCAACTGATACTTTTCAAACAAGCCGTTGTCTGGTGCATTGCTTGTCAGATGACAACTACGAGTCAATAGTTACTATGCACACCAACTTCTCAGTATCCAGACCAACTCTACATTTGTTTCAACGTTTGTTTCTTAACTAGTTTTGGAAACTTGTTGCCGCATGGTTATTTAACCGGCGCCTAACTTGTACTGGTCAGCTGGTCAGCATACACATGGTCAGCTGCGCCCGTGACGTCAGACTTGGCGGACCAATCAGCGGTCGCCGTCCGGCCCCGGCGCGGCGGTTTCAAACCGTTCAAACCAGCAGTTGTCGCGCGGCCGCCGTGCAGCATGGATCAGCGACGAGGGCTGTTCCAGCATTTGTGCAGTAAAAAGTGAAATATGTGAACTGTGGTGTTCGTGCTGTGAGTGAGGCCCGCTCTGGCCTGCGGGACGCACTAATCGTGCCTATACCCGCGGTCGAGACGCCTCCCTTCCCCTGCGCGCGCAATGTAAGTGGGCCAGACCTTTGCATGCACATGTGAGCAGATGTTTTGCGGTCGGTGTTTTTTTATATATAAATACATTTATTTGCCTTTAATTCAACTCTTTGTATTTTTAACTTAACTGATGGACATATATGGGCTGTAAAAGCTAATCTGGTTGGCGATCATGCTTTATTCGAATTATCTGCGTGATCGTGCAACTGCCATGATTGTTATGGTCAATGTAGAAATATTCGTCATACGGGCATGTTATACTTCTGGCTTGATGCGATGCACAAAACCATGTTCTTCCACATACGCAGCAGTTCTTGCTTCAAAGACTTATATGCTGACGGTGCACGATAGGTATACCTTATACCTCATGCATTTACCACATCCATTCGAAAATATGCACTTGGAATTGTCTCCAGTCAATAGTATTAATTACATACTACGTGATGTAGGTACGTGACCGTAATAAATACTAATGATTCCAGAAACTTCCGAATGGATGTGGTGTATGCATTCATCGATTATATAACCCATCAGTATTTCGTTTCTTGTCAGCACAAGCCTTTGAGCAATAACTGATGCCAGTCATGATTTTGTGCACCACTTCCAGCCAAAAAATGACCTGTCCGTATAGAAAATATTTCCTGAATCAGTATCGTGGCAATTGAAAACGAACGCGAATCGTAAGTTCTTAAGGTTATCAACGCAAACAAAGCGATTGTAAGGAAGAACAAGTTCGAACTGAGCGTTAGTACACTTACTTGTTGACAATTTGTAAACTAGCAATGCCCAGTCAAAGGCTAGTTCATCAACAAACCAGGGGTTGTTGAACCGACAAGGAAACGGCTATGCCTATCCAGAAGTTGGTAGGTTCACAAGGCCCAGACTAGTACTCAACAAGGTGACGCCTATGCGAATTGGAACCAAACTTGTAGACAAACTGTTAGTTTGTTGGCCAACAAGCCTGGGGCTGGTGAATCGACAAGGTGACGCCTATGCGAATTGGAACCAAACTTGTAGACAAACTGTTAGTTTGTTGGCCAACAAGCCTGGGGCTGGTGAATCGACAAGGTGACGCCTATGCGAATTGGAACCAAACTTGTAGACAAACTGTTAGTTTGTTAGCCAACAAGCCTGGGGCTGGTGAATCGACAAGGTGACGCCTATGCGAATTGGAACCAAACTTGTAACAAGGAGCCAACTTGTAGATTTGGTTTACAGTGTATATTGAGTCAGCGAAACTGGTTACTGGAGGCGGCAGTTTGTCACATCGGCTATATCCCGTCAAACATCGAGCATTTAGCTCACCGTTCCAGATCGGATCAGCACCACACCATGATAAATGACTTGCTACACTGTGACAAATGTCATCGGTAGGAAGCAGCGTTAGCCTGCAGCCGCCTGCAGCCGTCGGAAAGTGAGACGTATGGTTGGCGTGCCGTCTGGCAGTCGCCTATCAAATCGTCAGCTGTCTTCAATGGTTCTGACGTAATCATGATTAACCAATGCGCGTGGACATTGCAGACTGATCGTTCTTTGTCTGATCGTGACCCAATTCCGAACAGCTGATATTCGGCGCCGACTCGCCGGGGCGTTTCAACACTGCTCAGCTGTTATGTGACGGGCGAGACAGCGATGCAGCACCAAAAAATGCCACTCTCAGACTGGTCAGACTCAACAGATGGCTGAGAAAACGACAGAGACCGTTTTCACGATGCAGAGGGAGTCGCTCAGTCGAACTACCTCAAGATCTAGATCATCGATATCCAGATATGGAGCCGTAGATAAGCATCAGCATCACAAAGGTCTTTAAGTAGAACGCCAAGTCTGAGAATCTGGAGCTTTTTTGCCGGATGTCTGTTCTTCTTCCTGGTCTTTGTTGACCGTGCTAAGTAGCCGGGTCGAGGTCGATGAAATTGAAAGGCGACCAAGACTAGAGGGGATGATAAGTGAGACATACGAGTAAGACTTGTTGTTCGCTAATGCGTTAACGTTTAGCCTTGCAGTTGCAACACTTCACAGCAGCCTGGAACAGTAAAAACTACAAAGCTTTAGAACATATTGAAAGATATGTTCTACTCCTTTAAGTGCTTAAACGTATGCGTTACGTTACGCTACAGTGCCAAGCATTCCACTTCTGAGGAATTAGACAAAACTCCACTCTTCTGCCGTTTGTTCCCAATAGCCTGGTAAGTTTATGCTGCTCAAAGGACATATAGTTAGGGAGCAATGACCCGTGAAGAGTCATTTCAGAGAATATGTGCTTGCTTCTTACGCCTGTCTTCTCTCATCCGTCTAGCATATGAGCTCCGTGACGAGATATATTATGATGTGGGATATATTATGATATATTATGATGTAATTGATAGGATGTTTACATGTAGTGAGCCTATAGGCTCACTGACACTGATCTAATTGCAATGCTTCTATAGAAGCATTACAATTAGATCAGTCGTACACCTAGGTAGATGCCATTGCGAGACACCATTTTATTCAAATATTGTTTGAGCTTAGGGCTGTTAAATACTTATGCTTTTTTTAACTCATCAAAATGATTATGGAAAGCAGTATTAACTTCTAACGATGAGTATCCATGCTCCAAAATCGCTGCAGCTGCCAGCGGGCATGGTCTAACTGATATGCTGGAATACGATGCAATAATTGATGTCGTTAATTTTTCAGACCACGTAGGTAAACTAAGCCTCTGCAAAAACGAGTAACTGCGGTGACCAAAGAAACTGCCTAAATAGATAGGAAAGTAGGCACAAGGCATGACAGGGTCGTTAAGCAGTAAGCACACAAAAATCATGAGCCTTAGCAGTTATTTGCGCATCAATTACACGCACTACGGCAATATAAACGCCACCGATACATCTGAGCTTCCAAGTCGAACTCGTGGCTAAACCGTCACGGAAACGACGACTGGCTGTGCTAGCCACGTGGGAGCTGACACTGACCGTGGGAACCATCGCGACCTTGACCTGGGCGGTCACGTGACCGGGACTGACCTGTGCCGGAGTCATGTCGGGGCGCGGCGCGCGCGCTGGGCTGGGCTCACAGACGGCCGGCTCCGGCCCAACTGACGACGGCCGGCACCTCCGCCGCCGACCACACCCTACATACTGGAGCGGGGAGCCGCGGCCCCCGCCCCGCGCCGCCCCGGTCCGCCGTGACGTCAGACACGCCCGTGACGTCACCGGCGTGTCATGACCGGTCCTCCACTTTGAGTTGGACCCGAGAGGAAAGTTAGTTCGGTAGTGGGTTTATTTGAACATTCAGGTGTGTGATATGGTGTGAAAACTCACCGCTATCCTGGCTTGAGAGGCTAATGCCATGGAAGACTCATCCCATAGGATACCTAGGGCATAAATAATACACATGATAATGATGGTACCCGAAACTCGAAAGCCTGTCCCGTAGCTCAGTTGGTAGTTGGTACTGGGTGGCTTGTAGGTTTCTTTGGGTTAGGCTCTTGCGGTCATTTGTAACCATTGCAGAGCCGGGACTGAGAATGATAGGAATTAGGGCGAGACATTGGTTTGGGCGGGCAGGCGCGCACACAGGATTTTTGAATGGGGGGGGGGGGCACGACCTTCGAACTGGGCCCCCCATGCCGAAGGGCCCCCCCCCCCCAAAAAAAATAGGGTCCACGGGGCTATATTTCGGTTGGTTTGAAGCTTGAGCAATTGGTTTGTCAATGCATGGTAGGTAAAACAATTATTTCGGTACCAGCTTAATTTTCAAAACATATATATTTTTACTCTAGCATGTTTTTTTAGCATGTTTTTTTCGCGGACCCCGGGCCCGCGAGTCACCCAGTGGCCCGGGGTCAGCTCAGGCAAGGATGTATCCAGGACCTTTCGATGGGAGGAGGAAGGCACGGTGGGTCCAGTCTCACTGGCAGACGGGTCTCTTTAAAACGGTCTTTGCATGAGAAAATGTGGAAAATCGGCAAGCAAAAGTATCATTTATGCCCGAGGAGTGTGCCTAATGTACACTAATGCCTAATTTACATGGTATTTTACGAGCGAGCGAAGCGAGCGAGCTCCTCAGAGTCACCGGTGTGTGGCGCGCTCAGAGGTGCCAGTGAAAGGCCGTCAGATGCGCTGGTGTTGGGTCCTCACAGGCGCCGTTGCGGGGTCTTAGGGCTTAGAGACACTGGTGGGGCCATCATTGGCATGTGTGTGGCCCTGCAAAATAGCCTGCAAGTGGAAAGTGGCCCGTCATAGGCTGGCAAGGACACTCGGAGGCTGGTAAGAGGCCCTCAGAGTCACTGGTACGTGGCCCTCAGAGGCGTCGGTGTGGGGACTCTCAGAGCCGCCGATGTAGGCCCTTAAGATGCGCTGGTGGGGGTCCCTTGGAGGTGGGGCGAGGGGCCTCGCAGTTGCCGTTGTGGGTGCCTTTAGAAACACTGGTGTGGACCGTGTGTCTATCACAGACGGATGTGGAGCCATAGCAGCCAATCCCTCGTTGGCCGTTACTAGGGCCCTGAGCGGCCGGCGAGGTCTCTCAGAAACCGGCATTGGGCCTTTATGAAGATAACTGTGGCTACATAGGAGCCAATAACGTGCCCCCACAAGCCCTGTGGTGTCCTTCCGAGTTGAAGTGCGGCCAGCGCGAACCCTCTGGGCTCTGCTACCAACTGGCGCCGCAGGGCCCCTCGGTTTTGAAGGAACCCTAAACCCGAGAACGGGCACGTACCCCCTCGCTCCCTTGCTATGTCACTGAATCCAAGTGATTAGGGGCCCTTTAGGTAATCAGGGGCGTTTCAGATGACCAGGGGTTTTCAATTGATCAGGGGCCCACCAGGTAACCATGGGCCCCTCTGGTAACCAGGCGTTAAGTAACGAGGAACCCCATCAATAACCAGGGCCCCTCAGTAAACGGGGGCCACTCAGGTAAGTGTAGAAGTCCTGCAGAAGGGCCGGCAAGGTTTCTCAGGTCCGTTTTTTGACAAGGCTCTTATTGACTCAGGTGCGAGCCCTTTGCCATCAGCAGGGGGCCCTTTCAAGCCTTTTGAGGGCCGTTTAACGTCTCTTGAGTTCCCATTGAGGCCTTCTAAGGGCCCTTTGAGCAGTCGAGGGGCCTTTGAGGCCTTTTGAGGGCCTCTTGACGCCAGCTGAGGACCGTTGGACGCCAGCTGAGGATCGTGTTTTTGGGCCTTCTGATGGCCATTAGACGCCAATGGATGACCCTCTGACACCAACTGGGGCCCTCTGACACCAGCTAAGGGCACTTTAAGTTTGACGCTAGCTCAGGGCCCTCTGGCATTAGCTGGGGGGCCCTCTGACGCTAGCTCAAGGCCCTTTGACGCTCTTTAAGGCCTTCTGAGGGCCCTTGAGGTCTTCTAAGGGCCCCTTGAGGTTTTCTAAGGGCCCCTTGAGGCTTTCTGAGGGCCGCTTGACGCCAGCTGAGGACCGTTTGAGACCTTCTGATGGCCATTTGGCGCCAGCTGGGGGCCATCTGGCACCAGCTGGGGGCCCTCTGTCACCAGCAGAGGACTCTTTAGAGCCTTCGGAGAGCCGTTCGACGCAAGGGCATGGCCCTCTGACGCCAGCTCAGGGACCTTTGACACCCTTTAAGGCCTTCTGACGTCCGTTTGACGTTAGCTGAGGCCCCTTTGAGGCTATCTGAGGGCCCTTTAAGGCCATCTGAGAGTCCTTTGAGGTCATCTGAGGGCTCCTTAAGGCCATCTGAGGGCCCTTTGACACCATCTAAGGGCCCTTTGACACCAGATGAGGGTCCTATGACGCTAAGTGAGGGCCCTTCGAGGCCATCTGAGGGCCTTTTGAGACCATCTGAGGGCCCTTTAAGGCCATTTGAGGGCCCTTTGTACACGGTCTTCGGTGGTCTAAGGATTAGTTAGAGGCCCATTTGAGGCGGCCGAAGGCCGCCTCAAATGGGCCCCTTCCTTCGAGTTGGGCCCCCCAACTCGAATGGGGGGGGGGCACGGGCCCGTGTGCCCCCCCCCCCTTGTGTGCGCCCTTGTGGGCGGGCACGTGAGTCGCCGGGGCTGAGCCCGTCAAACGGACAGGCCGTCCCAGTCCAGCCCCCCAAGTACTTATAGGTAGGGGAGAGTGGGCAAAGCAACCACCCAAACGCTTCTTACGATACCGACGCTGGATTTTTAGACTTGGAAATATTCTTTCTATACCAGTGTGATTCATATTAAATTGCCTTTTATTTCAACTGCGTTTCACTTCCAAAGGCGTTCACATAGAAATTGGCAAAACCTTACCTAAACCTATGCATTTTGGCCACTTTGCCCCGTACCTACCCTTGCGCAAAGCGCCGCCACCGGCGACTTCTAAAATTCCGATATGAGAAGCAGAATAGTTGCCTCATGTACTACCTACGCCACGACTATGGTATTTGATGGTGACATGGGATGGATGTTTAATTTGTCTTCTTCCCACCTGCAGGTACCTAAACATAAAAAGGACATTTATGGAACATTTAGTGGCATTATTTGGTAACCCATATAACCGAAAAATGGCTGAAATGAGTGCATGACGACGCATTTCAATATCTGACAATAGCGTTTGATGTCCAAGTTACCGAGACTTATCGTCCATAGACGGTTCCTGGTCTAATGAAAAGTTGTGGGGCACCGCCCCCACGGCCCAAGAGTTATGGGGCAGGCTGTGGAAATGTGGAAAGAATGGGACAAAGCAACCACCCATCGTTTCAATTTCAATATCTGTGGAAATGGCCACCGGGGGGGGGCATTCTACGTTGCCCCGGGTAGGGGTAGGGTAGGGTATGGTAGAGGTAGGGTAGGGTAAGGGTAGGGTAGGGTTGAATTGAGTAACATCCTAACTTACAACGTCGGCCCGAGTTGCGGGGTGGTCGGTCTCCGAGGGCGGTGTCGGGGGCGGCGATGGAAACAGCGTATAGGCCAATTCGGGCTGGCCACTTTGTCCCGTCCACTTTGCCCCGACCATATACCATCTGGGACAGAAATATTCCAGCTCAGCTATTAGCGGAGAAAATAGCTTTAAAATTGGTAAAGCACATCTACGATAACCACACAAAGCATGAACGAGACCGCTTAAATACAATTCCAAACGGTTATGGAATAACACAAAATTCAAAAACGTAAAAATGGTTAGTAACCTGGCAGAAATGCCCCATGTGGCCGCTATACAGAACAGAACAATACAGAACAATAGCGATAGGCCGGAAACCCCGGTGTGGCTCATTCGTACGACCGCGAAGAGAAGCATAATTGGTGACCATAAATCGGAACTGACGCCAGCTGTGGAGGGCTAAAACGATGGGTGGACACTTCGCCCCGGGTGGCCGTTTTGCCCCACTCTCCCCTACTCACTGCTTGCACCGGGCACCCGGCTACGGGTGTGCTCCGATGGGAGCTGTCCGCATGGGAGAAAGTTGCCCGTCCAGCCCGGAGCAGGGGTTTGAGGGATGGAGGAGTAGGATTTAGATGTCCTGAGCATGGAAGTGACGGGACGGTACGGTGATTGGCCTTCGTAGCAGCTTCGTAGAGCGGTGGATTTTCGTTGGTATAAGAGCTCAAGCTTGAGTCTCCCGGCGTTCGGTTTATATGAAACTCCTGATGAGGATAGTCGGCGGTTGGTGGGAGCAGCCGCGAGCCAGTTGGAGTCAATTGATTGGTCAGGCCGTGTCCGGCTTTGATGGGCGCGTTGGCGTCTAAATTCGCCCGCTACCTGGAATTGCGCGATGGGGTGGTGGGGACGGGGGTCAAGACCTACGTAGCAAGCTCTGCTCAGCATAGAGTCCGGCTCTGTCAATCTGTTCATCCAATAATTCGTGCTAAATTTATCACATTAAGTCGCAAGTCCTTTGGCCTTTACCATTGCATAATCAGTGGTCCACCAATGCCTTTAATCAGCGGTCGCTAAAAGAGTGAATCACTAAAAGTCAAGAGTCAATCGCTTAAATTGATAATCACTGAAAACGTTTCTTTTAATTTAGAAAATTTAGAAAAATACCCTAGCTCAAATGTTGTACGCTCAAATGACGCTCATTCAGGTGTCGCAGAACCGTCCAAACACACTCCCGCGGTTTGGAGCTGGGTGTCATTCGACTCAGCTTATAATTGTGATATGTTTCGATATGACGCTCTTTTGCGCATATATGCTTATTTCACGACATTTACAATGTAAACAATATATCATAACGTATGCCTCCCTAATACCCTCCAATCATAGCCTTTGCTTCCAGTTCCCACTTCCCATGTTGTAAAATAGAACGAACGGCAGCGGATAAAATACCTTTGTAATTGACGAGTATATGGTAGCAATATGGCAGTATTTTTGGTCAGTGAAAACGACGCTACTGAGACAAAATATGTCTAAGCGCTCCAAATTTCATTTGTATTGATGTTGATGTAGGGTGGATGTAGGTAGGCGTACGGCCTTCTTGGGTAGGCGTCAAATGTTTTGATTTGCATGAATTGCTGTTCATAATTGATATCGTGATTCCGTATGTTTCATACAATTATTTTGTAAAAGGAAAAATAAGGCGTTGAAATTATACTTTCTACCTATCCCTAGCTCCAGCGCTTACTATTTCGGCTGTTTTCACAAGGCATTGTTTCGGTAGTCCGTACCTACCTAGTTAATTCGAATTCAATTGATGATATTTTATGCTTGTAGGTTTTGTGGTTGAGTTCCAAATTGAAATTGAAGGTCAACAATGTCATTGCATTTTTTGCACACATATCACAAATTCAAATAGCAGCTGGTTATGAACAAATATGTCAACGTAGCATATTAACAAAAATGAATTTGAATTGAAATTAGTTTTAATCTTATGCGGATTCTGGGTAGTAAAAGACAGTAATCTGAGGCCAGTCTTACCAATAGAAAAATAGCCGCTTGCCGGAATTTTTTGCCTGAAGACTGTTTCACATACAGAGCGTAAAAGGCAACAATACCCTATCTGCTTATGTGCCCATCGCGTATACATACGATCTGTATGTGAAAAGTGGTCTTAAGGCGAAAAATTCCAGCATGCAGCTATTTTTCTGTTAGTAAAACTGGTCTGTGGTTCAGAATTCAAGATTATACTGTGCCTCTGCCCTCTAGATCCTGATCCATTCACCTATTACCTGATTCCAAATCCAGGCTAGGAAGTAGAAATTTCCTAAACTATTGGTGCTGTTTGTCCCTGGATTCGGGAATAGTGCAGAACAGTGTAACAGAATAGCATAATTGAGAGTGTCAGTATTTACTTGGTTAGATATGATGTTACCTAATCCTGATTCCATCACACTCTAATGCTGTCAAATATATTGATATGGTCTAATACTTTTGCATCATCTGAATCTCAAATAAATGAGGCAGATATCAGTCCTCCTCAAACTGAATAAAGTAAATAGATTAATGTATAGAGTTAGGACTAAATAGACCAGTTTTGGATTATCCGTTTATGCAATTGCTCTTATTTCCAAGTGGGCTATCAGGCTGAGGAAAGAGCAAATAATGACATTGGGAAAACAACATTTTGAAAACTTCATCAGTTATCTTGTGAAATATTTACACTGGCTCACTTCCCTTAATTCTACAGAGACTCCGATCGGCTCTATCACTGTGATGACGTCTCAGGCGGCCGGCGCTGCGTTCACGCCCGTTGGGTATGACCTGTATCTGGAGGGCCGGGACGACCTGCCCGTCTCGGAGGTGGTGCCGCGGCTGCGGGCGCTGATGGCGTTCCTGCGCGCTCAGCAGTACAGCCTGGACCGGGTGGCCGCCGCCGGCAGCTTCCCGGTGCCGTACCCGGCGCTGGTCGCCGACGCCGGTCTGCAGCAGCGCTGGCACGGCCAGCTGGAGAAGGCCGTGGCCGGCGAGCCGGAGCTGTTCATCAGCCTGCTCGGACTGGCCATGTACCAGCTGCTGCACGAGGAGGCGGCCGAGACGGGCGGCGCGACAGCCGACCGGGTGCCGCGCGTCGTCGGCCGCCTGCAGGGGTTCACCCCGACCACTAAGGTGCGCGCCGTCAAGGCGGCCAGCTTCGGCCGGCTGCTGGCCGTCAAAGGCACCGTGGTGCGCGTCAGTAACGTCAGCCCCCACTGCCTCAGCATGGCCTTCGAGTGCACGGCCTGCTTCGACGTGCGGCAGCACGCGCTGCCGGGCGGCCAGTATCAGCTGCCGAGCCGCTGCGAGCGCTGCAACGGCACGCAGTTCCGGCCGGTGAAGTCGTTCAAGACGACGCGCACGGTGGACCGGCAGACGTTCCGACTGCAGGAGTTCTCCGAGGAGGACTCGGCCGACAGCGGCCGCGTACCGCGCTCCATCGAGTGCGAGCTGCTCGCCGACCTCGTGGACGCTTGCGTGCCGGGAGACATCGTCTCCGTCTGCGGCGTCGTCAAAACGTTCGACGAGCCCACCGGCAAGGGCAGAAACGCAAACAAGAACATGCACTTGCTGTACATCGCCGTCAACAGCATTAGCAACGTGAAGGCGGGCGGCAGCAGCAAGGGCACCAGCGGCATCCAGTTCACCAAGAAGGACTACTACGCCATCACGGAGGTGCACGACCGGCCGGACACGCTCCGCCTTCTGGTGCAGTCGCTCTGCCCGGCCATCTACGGACACCACATGGTCAAGGCTGGCCTGCTACTGGGTCTCTTCGGCGGCACCACGCGACCCGCCGGCGGCGCGCAGGAGCTGCACGTGCGCGGCGACCCGCACGTGCTGATGATGGGCGACCCGGGCCTGGGCAAGTCGCAGCTGCTGCAGGCGTGCGCGGCTGTGGCGCCGCGCGGGGTGTACGTCTGCGGCAACACGAGCACCACGTCCGGCCTGACGGTGACGCTGACACGGGAGAAGCACAACGACTACCTGCTGGAGGCCGGCGCGCTGGTGCTGGCCGACCAGGGCACCTGCTGTATCGACGAGTTCGATAAGATGACGGCGCAGTACCAGCCGCTGCTGGAGGCCATGGAGCAGCAGAGCGTCAGCATCGCCAAAGGCGGCATCGTTTGCACCCTGCCGGCACGCGCCTCCGTATTGGCTGCCGCCAACCCCAGCGGCGGGCACTACGACCGCGAGCGCAGCCTGGCCGATAACCTGAAGATGGGCGCCGCGCTGCTGTCACGGTTCGACCTGGTGTTCCTGCTGCTGGACCGGCCGGACGGCGCGCTCGACAGCCTCGTCTCCAGCCACATCATGGCGCTGCACGCGTCGGCCAGCGGTCGCTCCAGCTCTCTGGACACGAGCGCGGCGGCCTCGGCCACTCCGGCCGCCGACTGGGACCCCGAGCAGCCGCTGGTGGAGCGGCTGACGGCCGCCGCCGCCGAGCCGGGCGCCGTGCTGCCGCCGCCGCTCCTCCGCAAGTACATCGCCTACGCGCGCAAGTACGTTCACCCGCGGCTGTCCCCCGAGGCGTGTCGCACCCTCCAGGACTTCTTTCTGGACCTGCGTGCGCGCCACCAGGGCGTCGACTCCACCCCTGTCACCACCCGTCAGCTGGAGAGCCTGATCCGACTCACCCAGGCGCGCGCGCGTCTCGACCTCCGCGAGGACGCCACGGCCGCGGACGCGCAGGACGTCATCCAGCTAGTGCGGTTCTCGATGGGAGCAGGAGGTCTGGGCGGTGACGACGCGGCCGCCGAGTACCCGGTGGCGCGCGGCCGTGGCGGAAAGCGACGCGGCAAGTCCGGCCGACTGAAGGTGTTCCTCAGTGCCGTACAGCGCAACGCCGAGAGGCTCAACAAGACCGTCTTCACCGAGGACGAGCTGCGGCAGGTGGCACTGCAGGCCGGGGCGGGCGCCGACTGCTTCCGGGAGTTCCTGGACATGGCGAACCAGGCCGGGCTGCTGCTGAAGAGGGGACCCAAACTGTATCAGGTGCAGGCGGACTGAGGCGTTTAGGGATCTGGGAATTCATATTTGGAGCATATAGAAACGCCCAGCGGGAGACATGCAAGCTGATTCTTCTCAGCTGACCCGCGCGGATGGGCAAATGGACAAACGTGCTATCCCGTGAAACGATATCTGATAGATCCACATCAGACCTCGCGTGGGCTGCGGAGCGCGGTGAAAGTTATTGACCATTATCGTCATGGCCGTTAAAGTGTTCTCGAAGCTGTGATATTGCATTACATCATGCTGTTGTTGTTATGGAAACGTACGCATTCGCTCATCGTTTTTATTGTGTTCATTTCTCCCTAACTAAGGTAGCTTATCAAAATATAAAGAAATAGAAATGTTTGGCTTCATATCTCGAAAGGTCCTTGCATACAAGACTGGTATGTATTGCTCCCGAACACATGGATGAGATTGCAATGAAATATCGCGGCACCTCTGATGACGAGGCGACTTACGCCATGTTAGTGACATACACATGACACAAATGGCATACACTGATACAGGACGTCACCAACCCCGCCGACCCGAGCCTTGTCATGTCATAAATACGCACGATCACCCAATCATGTGCAGGAAACCATTCTGACGCCGCGGCGCTGCATTTTGTGGACCGTCCAGTCGACAAAAAAGCACCGCGGATGCCACCTTTTTGGGTTAGCATCTCAGGTTGTGAACGCTAGCCGAGAGCGGCAATCACTCGGGCAACTACCGCGCAACAGTATAAAGCTCCAACGCAGCGCTGATCACTGACCAATGACCATATCACCATAGTTAAGCAGTCGACCATTCAGTGTCTTCGGACATTTCCAAGGCAAGGAACGTCTCTATCGCTACTTACCGCTCACAGGTCGCCTTATTTCCATCAATGACAAACTATCACTAACATCCCCGTACATTGCACGACACCACGCACATCAAACGGTGCTCAATAAAACTGGTGCATGAATCAAACTAGCAGCAACCATACTTTTGGCAACGACTTATTCAATCACCCAGTCATCACCAAGCTCTCGCTTCTCACTCGTTCGCACATTTTGATAGGACGAATCAAGCGTATTGGTTCTGTCTCCAGGGAGACCCTGTCGTTGGTTTTACCTACTCACCCGCAGCGCTATATCGATTTGACCGCCGACAGACCGTCGGTGGGGTCGAACATGGTGGCTCGGTCGACCAGTCCCAGCCCGTAGCCTGAGTACTGAGAGCTCTTCTTACTGACAAACTCTGGCTTTTCCACCTGTACTGCGAACGTGCTGAACCCCAGCTGCCTGAACACGGACGTTACCTGAGGGAGGGAGGAATGTCAGACAAGTGAGAAGGAGGTGTCAGACCAAAGGAGGGAGAGGGGAGTGCTTAAACGGGCGGCGGATGGGAAAGAGAGCCGGGTAAGGTAATTTTTCGCCAGTTTTTACGACACATTTACACATCTCACAAAGGCCGGTATGGCAGTACGTAATCCACAAGAAAAAAAAAACACGTAAAACACGACAGCCACCTACCACCACAATCTGACTGACCTGTCCGATGATGGTCTGCTCGCTGGCCGTCTCCTTGACCTGCACGTGCAGCGTGCCCACCCAGTGGTCGGCCGAGTGGCTCCAGAAGTGCGGGTCGCTGTAGCTCTGTACTCCTTCCAGCAGCAGCACCTGCCGGGTGGACGGCGTGGTAACGCTCAATGGAATGGGGTCATAACTGAGTCATGGGCGGGCTGTTGAATCACTCAGCATGCTCGGAATTATTCAGAAAGGTGTTATCTATGCACACAGGTGCTGTCAATTATTCTGCAGCATCTGAATTATAGTACCCAATGATTCGAGAAATTACAAATGTTGCTCATTCAGAGACCATAATCTTCATCTTCATCTGACATCTGGCTGATAAAAAGACATAACAAGGTCAGTCAGCGGCTAGTTCGTCTGCCGACTGCCCGGTCACCAGAAAACTAGTTTCCCGCTCCTTCCGCCCTTGTGTCGGGCCTCTATCCCCCTCCCGTATCGACCTACCTTGTCGAGCGCCTCTCGGAGCTGTCGGTCCCTGCCGGCGGGCGCGCGCAGCACCAGCACCAGCGCCGTCTGTCTCAGCAGCGGCAGCACGCTGACCACGATCAGCACGGCGATCAGCGCCGAGCAGACGGGGTCAGCGGCCAGCCAGCCGGCGTGGCGGACCAGCAGCGCCGACACCAGCACGCCCAGCGAGCCCAGCGTGTCGGCCACCAGGTGCAGCCACACGCCGCGCAGGTTGGCGTTGGGAGAGTGACTGTGGCCGTGCGCGCCGCCCGCGCCGTGTGAGTGACCGTGAGCGCCGCCGAATACCAGCAGGCCGGCCACGTTCACCAGCAGGCCGAGCACAGAGACCGTGAGTAGTCTGAGGGGAGGGAGAGCGGTCAGCAATCTGATAGGGGAGGGTTAGCACTTGCCAGAGGGAATTATCACACCAAACGTATACGGTAGGCAGTGAAAGCACCGGAACAGAAGTTTCCCCCCCCCCCCCCTCCATCCCGCTGACAGCTCCCGGCTGTAACAGGCAAACTACCAGTCGTCCCTCACCGGTCTGTTTTGATGTCCGGCGGGTCGAGCAGCCGGCTGACGGCCTCCATGAACACCATGTAGGCCACCACCAGCAGGAAGAGCGCGTTCACAAAGCCCGACAGCACCTCCACGCGGCCGTACCTGAAACGGGGAGCGTCAGTCGACTGTCTTAAAATGTAATGAACCTGATCTTGTCATGGATGAGCAGCGAAATAAGACATGTGCGGGAGACACGCACGTGATGGCTCAATCGCTCACCAATTAATTATTTGAATACTCATAAAATAAGATGAAGATATAAGATTAGAGGAAGGCCACAGCCCACAGCCAACAGCAGCAGCTGCCAGAACACTCTGGGTTTACCCGCCTCTTACCCGTAGGAGAACTGTTTGCTCGGTTTCCACTGGGCGATCACAGAAGCGGCCAGACCCATGGCCAGCGCCGAGCAGTCGAACAGCATGTGAAACCCGTCCGAGATCAGGCTCAGACTGTTGGTCCACACGCCGTACGCAAACTCCACCAGCATAAAACCTGAGGAAACACGAGAAGTGCTGGCGACATTACTGTCTACTGATGTGTTAAAATTCATGACTGGCGGTGTGAGATAAGGGTCAAACTCACAATCCATAAAATCATCTATCAGCTGTCCATGCAGCATCGGTACTTGGTAGCAAGTAGCAACAAAACCAATTGTAGGTACGACACAGCAGTACAACCTGAGGCAGTACAACCTTACAAAAAAAAAACTGATAGAATCGTTCTGTCCTCCAAATACCCTAAAATGCCTCAAAATTTTCCCCATTTCATTCAACCACAAGCCATCCTTCTCCTTCCACCGGCCTACCTCCGTTCAGAAGGAGCAGGTAGAAGATCCGTTTGCTGTTGGGATCTGCCCGGACGCGTCTGAGCGCCATTCGTATCGCAGCCATGGCCGACACGGAGCCCTGAGGTAACAGTGACGAGGACAGACTGTAGAGGGGCAGGCCGCCGGCCGAGAACCCCACCAGCTGGCCGCGGCCGCCAGAGCCCGACGACGTCAGCGCGAACGTCGCTGTAAGGGGAGCGGGGATCAGCCGTCACACAGGGTGAGCAAAAAGTGTGGGGAATGGGGTTATCAGTTGTTGGCCTGGTGAGAGTCTGAAGAATGTTTGATGTATAATGATGACGCAGATGACAAAAGAACTATATAATCTGCGAGAACTTGCTCTTTGTGTACTCATAATACGTCTCATCAAATCTAGGTTTTTTTTAAGTGGATAATTGAATGCAGTTTCTAGCAGTGAGAAAGCCGACGTACGACCCACACTGCCATTCCCAGCTGCCAATCAGCTGGCACCACCCTGACCACTGCCGTGCTTCTCTCCCCTGCCCCGTCCGACCTCCCACCCCACCGACTGACCTGCCATGAAGAGCAGCGCGCTGGCGATCACCCCTGCCGAGAGGCCGTGGTGCGGCTGGTCCGAGCCATCCACGGCACCAGACTGGGAGAGCCAGCTGAGCGTCAGCGCCAGACTAGTCTGCACCAGACAGGCGACCCGCGCCAGCTGCGAGCCGTCCAGTCTGGGGGAACGGAGGACAGGGGTTAGGTCAGAGTCTGGGGTAGCTCACAGGATAGTAACGTTAGATAGCGAAATCAAGGCCCAAACTAATCGAATTGAGGTACCTATCTTATATCTTCACATATCTCCCAAAGACCAAGACACGTCTCTTCTGGTTCGTTTCCTACCCCGCTCGTTTTCCGATATGAAGAGCAACTAAACCACCAACCTGTTGGCGCTGATGGACTCGACGTAGAAGTCGACGACGTACAACATCAGCGCCAGCATGACCAGCGTCGGCACGTAGCTGGTCACCGACTCCACCTGAGACTCCTGGAACCGCCGCGGGAGAGGTTACATGGCGGAGAGGAGTGGTAGACGGCGTTTCTATGCCTATTACGATACCAGGACAGCGTATACAGCTGTAGCCTCCCTAGCTCCACCATGGAGTGAACACACACCCGTATGAAGCAGGACAGGAGAGCTAGCGGCAGCAGCAACGCCATCTACTCCAGTGTATTGATTCCCCATCCCCACCTGTATGAAGCAGGAGAGGAGAGCGAGCGGCAGCAGTAGCGTCGCCTCTCCCAGTGTAGTGACCGTCTGCAGACGCTTGGCGCCTCCCACCTCCACGGAGAGTTTCCGCCCGGCGTTATTGTAGGTGATTCGCAGCGCCACGCAGAGCAGCAATAACACCACGCCGCCCTAGGGAGGGAGAAACGGATGGGGTGAGACGGGTCCCCGTAACAAGACAGGACAGCAGCACCACACCGACCTGAGAGGAAGAGGCGGCTGAGATGGCACGTAAAACCACAAGAACGTCATAAGCAAATTAAGTCTAACATTAAACCAATTTTAAATTGGTGGTCGTAGCAAAACAACAACATATAAGAGGTTCATTGACACCTCCAATCAGTGCTAGTTAACACTTCAACGACTAAGCTTCCACGTTCCTATAATGAGTATAGCCTTCACGACAGCCACTCGACAAACCATGACGGCCACTGGACTATGTATTGCACGTACATACCTTGTGGTCGGCGACGGCCAGCGTGCCCAGCAGGTGTGAGGCCAGCAGCGGCAGACCGACCCGCTGGCCGGAGCCGTCCGGTACGTCAGACACGTCATTGTCAAATAGCAGCAGCGCCAGCACGGCCAGGACGAAAAACACGGCTCCGCGCAGCCGCGACGGCGTGCGGTTACCTGTCGGAGGGGAGAGGGAGAAAGGGGGTTATACAGAATTAACTGTCATCGGGTGTTAAAATACTGTGTAAAAACCTACTAAGACAGGTTTGCAAGATTAACCTCCTAGGATTATGATAAATAGCATGGGACAGCGAACACCGAAAGTGAGATCACCAAGTTAACCCATAACAGAATTTAGCACTTCGTCACTCACCTGAGAATATGGTGACCAGGACGGCCACGGGGACAGCGTCGAGCTGACCGTACAGGAGCACGGTCCTCAGCGGTCCGCACAGCGTCAGGCCGTACAGCCACAGTATGGACAGGCCGATACCTGGAAACGATTATTTGGCCCTTGACAACATGTGGGAATGGATGTTTGAGAGGCACAACACTGTAGTGATTGTATTGGCATATTTAGCAACTCAACCTTCCTTGTGTTACATCTTAGGACAAAAAATGAACAACATGCAGATGAGCACAGCCAAAAGCAGCCTTGAAACAAAATATCGAACTGGTAAGAACTGGTCATCGTAACCGGTAAGAGAATCGAAAACGGCCGAGAATCCTTTTTCATTAACAGCAAATCTGGCCTTGCTCTCTCCTCGGCAAAAATACGACCAAGCAACCACTTTGTGACAGGAGGAAAGGGTTCCAAACTATGCAGCAGAGGGGTGGGCGGTAGCAGACGACAAAGAAGCGTACCTGCCACACATCTCCGGACGATCCTGATCTGAAGAGATCGGCTCAGCGGCTGACCGGCGAATGGCTTCTGAATGGCCACCAGGCACACAGCCGCTCTGCAAAAACAAACAAATGTTTAACTTAGTTCTCTGCATGGGGATGATGAGGCGAGTTTATCATATTATTGACTGCATGCTAGAAACATCCTAATATTTGGATATGATGACATATAAAACTTACTATTGCTTTGATAGTGAATTTCTGGTCCTATAGAGGTAAAATATTACAGTACAATGGTTTCAATCTGTCTTTATCTAGATAATTACTTTCTTTCTTCCTAAGCTTGCTGGTTAGCAGGTAGGTATTTATTTTTATATCACTTATTTTTGTACCATAAAGTAGCAAAGCAAGAAGAAAATGTCATAACTCACATAGATTTTGTGGTGAAGAGCACTTGAAGAATTGGAAGACCAAGAAGGGAGGAATAAAGAGAAATTATTCCAAAGACAAACAGGGCTTTTCCCAAGGCCAGAAAACCTGTTGCCCTGAAAAAGATGTTGCAAATTTGCAATATGTTATTTATTGTCACAATACAGTCAGAACACAATAAGGCATTACACAAACACATATTTGAATAAAATGATTGCATATTACCTACATTTGATTGGCAACATCAATTTTGACCATCAAAAGTAAAGAAAAAAAGCTCAATATCAAGTTGGCATGAATAGCAAAGAACACTTGTTTGCAAGTTAACAAGACAAGGTTGATGTAGGTATATTTCTTAGTGAGCATGAAAATCAGTGCTTTAAGCTTGTAAACATCCCTCAACAAGTCAACATTAAAATAACAGACAGGTAAAGTCACTTACCAATGAGCTGCACCCAGACTGCTAACCACATGATCACTTGAAACTGATTTTCTCATCTCTTAGCTGGAAAAGAGGTGGTATCAAATATAACTATTGTATGCAAGTCTAAGATTTACACCTGTTATATTACGATTGTTTACATTAAACTGCAACAAGATCAGCAACACAAAATTAGAATTAACTTCCCTTAGTGAAAATCCATGCAGTTCACCTAAATGGCAATAAAAAGTTATCATCACATGCCAAACAGAGAGTTGGAGGTAGGTTTGTATATCAAAGTCAGGTAAGAACTTAAAAAAGAAGCAGGATGTTAAAAGTTTGCATCAAAAGCATAAAAATGCCTCTTTAGTCCAGTCGGGGAAACTATGGCAAAATCTGCTATTTTTAGCAGTCTGCTATTTTTAACAGAAATCTGCCAAAAATGGGTACGCATGTGACGTCATCGTACCCAATTATAGCAGATTTGGGTGGAGCCCCATACAAAAGCAGATCTGCACCCTAATTGAAGCAAATGCGCATCAAATGCCTGGCAGGTTCATGATGAGAATAGTGCTGCAAATGTCCTCTGATATTTTTGTTCAGATCCGACTATTTTTAAATAATGAATTTGAAAATAGTCGGATCTGAACCAAAATATCAGAGGACATTCTCAGCACTATTCTCATCATGAACCTGCCAGGCATTTGATGCGCATTTGCTTCAATTAGGGTGCAGATCTGCTTTTGTATGGGGCTCCACCCAAATCTGCTATAATTGGGTACGATGACGTCACATGCGTACTAGGGTGGCACTTAAAAATCAATTTTTGATTTTTAATGCGTGCGGGTGGTTTTCCGGTTCCATTCCCGTAAAAAATAAGGGAGGCAAATTTTTGTGGGAAAATATTGATGTTTAGAGGTCGCGAATCAAGGTCAAAATTGAGATTTTGGTAGCAGATTTCAATATCATTAAAATCGTTTTTGACATTTCTATTACGCTGTAATCGGATGATAATAAGGCATTTCTTAGTCATTTTCATATTGTTTATTGATATTCCATGCAGCTTCGGTCACGCCAGAACGCTGGTCTATGTGCTCCACTACTCCAGTTCCTCCTCTTTAGTAGATTATTGGCGCCTCATTGGAGGAAGGGGTATCATGGGCAACGGGCACCCAGATCACTTTGTGTGTAGCCTGGTTAGCAATTGCAGTCGATCTTCGGGTGTCAGGTTAGCGTTTTCTGTGATCTTTTCAACAACATGGAGGAAGAACTGGCGCTAATCTTTGTCTTTCATCAGTGTCAGTCCTACATAAGCGCCATACCGCGCCTGGTGAAGTCATTGACCACCCGCAGCTCCCGGACTACACGAGCTGCGGTTTGGTAGCTGCTGTCCTCCCAGTGACCTTGGTCATTGATGATTAGCCCCGCGTCCAGATCGTGTATCCTTGAGAGCTTTTTGAACGATGGTGTGAGGAAGCTCGCGAGCCGCGAGCGTCTCGGTCGCGAGAGCGGTGTCCACTTTAGACTTATGGGGCGGGTCCTAGTCCTCCCTTTCCTACAAGTCTATTGCCCGCACCATGTCTTGATTGAGCCCGAGGGTCGGGGTCTAAAAGCTCCAGAGTCACCAGCCGATCACTCAAGTACTACAGGTGACGGCCGAAGACCGGGACTCCAGTTCCTAGTCCCCCAGCGCTGTGAGCATGGCCTCCTGTGCTAGTTTTGGAACGGCGAGGAGCTTGGCCACCCCAATCCCTCCCCTCCCTATCACCAGGACCTAGAATCGGTCGACGCTCCTTCTCTCGCGGTTCAGGATTCGTGGTTCAGCCGGAGTCGTATCCTTAGTTCCGTGCCGCAGTTGATAACAAGTTCACGTGTTCTTCACACATTACTGATTACGGTTGGGCAGTTTGGCCCGGTCGAGGCCAGTTCACTGTTGGGGACGTCCGCTCGCCTGCATGCGCTTGGGAGTGTGAGTCGACGTTTCTCTCTCATGGTCGCCATCGTCAAAGACGTTCCCTCCTTGTGCGCGCCGCAACGGCCGGGTAAGTCTGTTGCTGGCACTGGCACTATAGAGTCTGAAGAAGCGCCCACGGAAGAACATCCCGAAAGCACAATAAACCAGTGCAGCTCAATGCACACTCTCGTCTCTGTTTTCGCCCGCCGGCGATAGGCTGACTCCAACTTCTTCACATTCTCTTTGACAGAAAAGGAGCATGTCTCAAAAACCGGTAGAACCGTGGGGCACGTCCTCCCTTTGGAACAGGAGTCACTCCCCACACTAATCAGTCCCCCTTTGGTCACTCCCCACACTAATCAGAGGATATGACCTCCACTGTGAGAAGGCACCGGTCGCAGGCCAAAACAGGCCTGACATGGGTAAAACAACCCCAGATCAGACCTGTCTTGGCCTGACCTGGACTGGCTACGATCGGCCGGAAGTGATGGGATAAATAGTAGTTATACAAATAAAGGTCAAAATACGTCGGAAATGACGCTTAATGACCACATATGTCATCCCAAATAGGTTTAAAGTAGTTTCCGAAAAGTTGATTTTTTCCCCAAAACTGCCAACTTTGAACTCAATTCGCGACCCCTAAATATCAATATTTTTCAAAATCATTTTGCACACATTTTTACGGGAATGGAACCAGAAAACTACCGGCACGCCTAAAAATCGGATAACATAAAATTCACCCTATTGCTAAGTGCCACCCTAATGCGTACCCATTTTTGGCAGATTTCTGTTAAAAATAGCAGACTGCTAAAAATGGCAGATTTTGCCATAGTTTCCCCGACTGAGTCTTTTGTATGATTTCTATTCACAACTGACAATGTTGAATACATATTTATGCATCATACCACAATCATGTCTTATTTAATATAGGAACCTATTATTATTTTCCATGGATTTACTAAATTAAGTTTGGACAATTGAGACACTAACTAATTTGTGAATTGATTGCTCGCATGCCAATGAAGCGAGTCACACAGGCCAAGGCCTGGCCTCTCCTGCAATAGATCAGAAAATTCCGATTCAATCAAAATCATTCAATTTGGACTTTGGAAGCATAGGTTCAGCATAACCAGCGGCTGGTCTCGACTCTCGAGTGCACCCATCAAAGCCCAAGCAGTCTCAGTCTGAAGCAGTCTTATCTGCCCCATTCATCCATATTTAATTACCTACCTTGTTTAGACAATTTCCAATTGTTTTTCAATATCAATTCGAAGAAAAATGGCATCAAAACAGTCGACAGAGAACACGACCGTGGCGGTGGATGAGTTCAAGTTGCGCCAGTCTGCAAAACGTGGCACGTGCACGCCCGAGGTGCGCCTAGATTTCTGGGAATGCACGCCTGGGATACGCCTGGGCATTTCCATTGCACGCCTGACGGGTGCTAAGAGCGAGCCCATCCCCATGTAATGCGAGCCCAGCTTTCATACCACAAGTAACCCAAAAATCCTTAGCGTATGGAATTATTAAAATGACAAACTAAACTTTTTACTTCATTCTCAATTTACACATTTATTTTGTTATGGCTCAAATAACCATATCCTATTCGAACTAAGGTCTTGTCATATGCGTTTGTCGTCAATCTTTGTTCAGTCTATCTGGCATAATGGGAGATATCTGTTATCAGTGACAATAAACGGGTGCGCTTTTCGCCAACAAGGACGACTATTTGAGCATTTTCTTAGGCTGATTCCCTGCTCCAGTCTGTGTCAGAGATCGATAAGTCACAGTCAACATCCACCAACAGCGGGCCGATCACTGGGGCAAGTCTAAGCAGGACTAGCACTGCATCGAACGAACGCCGCCACATTGCAAATTGACGGGGTGTATCGACATGGGGTACTCCGAGGCTTTCTGTCGGGTGTGTCAAAGTGAGGCGGTTAGCTGCGGTACCGCTGCTCGCGCGGAACACGCCTCCAGCTGCAAGGAAACATCTACGATCAACCTCACCATCTACGGCGAGACGATGTGGTGTAAGTTTTCATTCCTGCCTTGACATCAGGGTTTAATTTAACGAAGTATGTAATTGGTCAGATGTGTACCTTCAGACCAATTCATAGTTTGAGACACTGCCAAACCCACTGGGTATCACAGCTCATCATTCCAGACTTAAGAAGACAGTTTGGTGTGTCATAGAACATATAATCAGCAGCGTCCACGAACACCATCCCTGTCAACGGAATGACCATTGAGATCTCTTTGTAGCATGTCTGTTGCTCCTTGTCCGTTAGCCGGAGGCGCGGTAAACCCGCAGATCACCTCAACACTGGAGTCCATACCGGCGCAGCAGGTCTGCCATCGAGCCGCTCGCCTCCCACCCAGCACGGAGACCACGCAGGGCCGGCAGCCGGGTAGCGCCGAGCAGCGCCAACACGAGGCGGTACCGCAGGAAGACCATCAGTGTCGCCTCCTCCGCGCCCCGGTAGCGCCAAAAAAAGAAATCTGTTCAAAACAGCAAAACAGTGTTTTGCTGTTTTTGACCGTTGTGGCCTTTGGCAGCCATTCTATAACTCAGGAACTACTGGGCCGATCGGGACGAAAACACCACCAATCGATTCAGCGTATGCGATTTCATCAGCTGTTTCGAATGAGGTCATCTGAGGTCACCATATTCGACACGGCTGATGAAATCGCATACGCTGATTCGACTGGTGGTGTTTTCGTCGCGATCGGCCCAGTAGTTCCTGAGTTATAGAATGGCTGCAATAGGCCACAACGGTCATGTGACCTCCCAAGGTCACCGAGGTCACCTGAGGTCACCATATTCGAAACGGCTGATGAAATCGCATACGCTGATTCGACTGGTGGTGTTTTCGTCGCGATCGGCCCAGTAGTTCCTGAGTTATGGAATGGCTGCCATAGGCCACAACGGTCATGTGACCTACCAAGGTCACCGAGGTCACCTGAGGTCACCATATTCGAAACGGCTGATGAAATCGCATACGCTGAATGGACTGGTGGTGTTTTCGTCACGATTGGCCCAGTAGTTCCTGAGTTATAGAATGGCTGCCATAGGCCACAACGGTCATGTGACCTCCCAAGGTCACCGAGGTCACCTGAGGTCACCATATTCGAAACGGCTGATGAAATCGCATACGCTGAATCGACTGGTGGTGTTTTCGTCACGATCGGCCCAGTAGTTCCTGAGTTATAGAATGGCTGCCATAGGCCACAACGGTCATGTGACCTCCCAAGGTCACCAAGGTCACCTGAGGTCACCATATTCGAAACGGCTGATGAAATCGCATACGCTGAATCGACTGGTGGTGTTTTCGTCACGATCGGCCCAGTAGTTCCTGAGTTATAGAATGGCAGCAATAGGCCACAACGGTCATGTGACCTCCCAAGGTCACCGAGGTCACCTGAGGTCACCATATTCGATACGGCTGATGAAATCGCATACGCTGAATCGACTGGTGGTGTTTTCGTCACGATCGGCCCAGTAGTTCCTGAGTTATAGAATGGCAGCAATAGGCCACAACGGTCATGTGACCTCCCAAGGTCACCGAGGTCACCTGAGGTCACCATATTCGAAACGGCTGATGAAATCGCATACACTGAATCGACTGGTGGTGTTTTCGTCACGATCGGCCCAGTAGTTCCTGAGTTATAGAATGGCTGCAATAGGCGTCAATGCTGAGTTGACCTCTTGAGGTCACCGAGGTCACCTGGGGTCACGAGCTTCGAAACGGCTGATAAAATCGTACCCCCTGATTCGAATGGTGTTTCGTTCGTTCCGATCGGTCCAGTAGTTCCTGAGTTATAGAATGGCTGCAAGGGTGGCGGTCGAATAGTGTTGTCCAGACTTGCGCCAGATCTCCCTATGCACGCCTGAGTTTCGGCGTGCACGCCTGAGTTCCGGCGTGCACGCCTGAAAATCGGGGGTGCACGCCTGGCGGGTGGGCTGGAGCAGCCCGTGCACGCCCGAGATCTCGTCGAGATATGCCACGTTTTGCAGTCTGGAAGTTGCGTGAGGCGTGAACGGATCAGGATGTTTGCAAGGCCGTATCTACCGGTACTTGAGGTATATCAAAGAACCGACTTGTGATGTATTGAATTTAGTAAAAAGGAATGAATGATTTTATTCAGGGCACTAAATTTTATTAAAATGCCTGCTTTGCGCGCTTTGAATCACTCTGAATTGGGCATTGGCCATTGAATGGGACGACGGTGAAAACAGGGCGCCTGGGGCGATTTGATCAAGGTTCGTTAAATTTACACGTGACGTATGGGATATAGAAGGCCCATGGAGCAGGAGAACTTCCAAATGTCACGTGACTAATATGCCCTCCGGCGCCCTGTTTTCACCGGCGTCCATTGAATGAGGCTGCGCAAGATTTGTATCAGACTCGTCACAACATAGAAGCTGCCAGATCTCTACCAAATAATTCCCTTTACATCCTTCCCTTCGCTTAGCACGTCGCATTTGCAAAGCATTCCAGCCAGCTAATCCATTTTCAATTTTAATTTTTCAATCAATTAACTTCCAACCAACGGTTTCCAGATGGTCAGCTTGTATTGGTATGTTGCAATATCTGCGCTTATGCTGCTGAGTGCTGACGTTCGTGAGAAAGAGAAAGACGGCTAAAATAATTGAAAATAATTTTTATTCTTGAGCGTTGAACGAACAATTCGGGTTTACAATGCAAACGACATGAAAATCAATAGCCAATGGGCCAGATACCCGCAAGGCACCGGGTAGACATAACCCGCACTGATATCTTTGGTCAGCCCCGCGATGGCAGCTGGCGCTAAGCAGCCTCCTTGAAGGACAGTGAGGTGCCGGTGCCGGTGACCGAGGCGGCCTGTGTGACGGCCGGTGGCGGCGGGGTCTGCGGCGGCGGGCTGCGGATGTCCTTGATGATCTGCCAGGGCCGGCCGGCCAGCAGGGTGCACTGTCCGGGCGCCAGGTATCTCTGGGTGATGTCGTGCTGGAACACGGCCAGGATGGGCACTGGCAGCGGCTCGTCGCGGCGCAGCGCCTCGACGGCGCGGCCGCAGGTGCCTCCATACAGGTCCCGGTACACCAGAGCCAGGTCCAGCTGCGGCCAGACGGCGGGGCCAGAACGGTCAGCAGACGGCCTACAGCCCTACATACACTCCACAGATCGGCGATATACATGCTGAAGGACGGAATGAACTATTTGCGTTAAGGGTTGATAGTAGTCCACAATAATATGATCGGCCTGTCTGGATAACATTGCAGTGACGATTCCCTTGAAGTGAGTTCACCTGGAGCCCCCATCATCACTGCGTCCCGTGACCTTTTAACCCATGAACTGTGCTGACCAGTGACGCTCGTAAACAAGCGCGATCGGACGCTTACATATAGGCATTTATGGCCTTCACCGGTCGGCACGGGGGCACTGCTTATTGCACCGTTCCTATCGAGAGCCCAGCAGCGTCCAACCCCTTGCCCGCTGTCCCGCTGCCAGCCACATTTCCCTCCCGATCCCGACTCCGAGCTTACGTCCAGTCTCTGAAGAGCCTGGGGCATCAGCTCCTTCGGCAGCACCATTGTCCTGGCCAGCACAGTCCTGATGGCGTTCAGGGTGCTCCTGTTGCCCGTCTCGCCCACTCGTCCCTGCCGAAAAAGATTTGGCTTTACTTGCCCTCTTAGCGGTCGAAGACTGGCACCCGTGGAGCAATTGACATAGAGAGCGTGACAACCACAATAATTTGTCTCTTGCTGCATAGTACATCTTTCAAAGAACTGAAGCCGCTCAAAGTCATCAATCGATACGCAACGCCTTTGTTGACGAAGACGATAGTAATCGGAAGTACCGATCATCCTCGTTTGACTTCATGGGACATAAGGTAATTAATCGCGTAAATGAGTTCCAAACACTGCCGAAATATAATCGAACCGTTTTTCAGTCATAAGTCGATAACTCTTATATGCGTCCTCTTATATGTGTCGCTGACGTCCATCGACCTGAGCAAGGCGTTCGACAGTGTCGACCACTCCATGCTGCTGAACAAGCTGGAGTGGTATGGCATCTCTTCCCGCTGGTTCAGCAGCTACCTATCCTGCCGTTCTCAGATCGTCTGCGGCGGCACTCTTCAACTTCCTCTAACCCATGGTGTCCCTCAGGGGTCCATAGTCGGCCCAATCCTCTTCCTCACCTTCGTTAACGACCTGTCATGTTTCCTTCCCCACGGCCGACTCCTATCCTATGCAGACGATACCCAGATCCTTGACTCAACACCCTCTAAACCTAGTGAACTCCAATCCATGAAGTCCCGGGTCGAGGAGAACATCAGGATTTTGCAGGTTTGGTTCAGTTCTAACGGTCTAAAAATGAACACCGAAAAAACATGTTTCACTATTTTTGGTTCGCCTAACTCCGTCTCCAAATCATCAGACTTCATCTTACATGTGGATGGAGTGGACATTCGGCCTCAAAAGCACATCAAAATCCTAGGTGTTCTCTTCGACCAAACACTGAGCTGGGAAGCGCACATCTCATCCTTGGTCCGACGCCTGAACACAATCCTTCATCCTCATATCCCTATACAAAATCCGTCATTTCCACTCCCCCAACATTCTCAAAATCCTTGTCCTTGCCCACGTTTTCCCCCACCTCCATTACTGCTCGTCAGTGTGGGGTGGTGCTCCTAACTCCCGTCTTGACCGGCTGCAAAAAGTCCTCCATTTCGCAGCTCGGCTGGTCACAGGTCTCCGCCGATACGACCATATCGGCCCCGCTCTCGCCGCGCTCGGCTGGCCGGACATTCGGGAGATGATCGCGCGTCGTGACGCGCTGAACGTATATCGCGCTCTCCACGTTGTTTCCGCGCCCGGCCCCCTGCGTGCGATGTTTCGCCCTCGTGCCGCCGTATCGGAGCGCGAGACGCGCAGCGCTGCCGCGGGGGTGTCGGTGCTGGAGCTGCCCCGCTACCGGCTCACCATGGCGAGGCGGCTCTTCCCATACAGGGCCGCGGTATCGTGGAATGAGCTTCCACGAGATGTGACCTCATGTCCGACCAGGCGCTCCTTGTGTGGTCATTTTAAAGCCTGATTTGATATTTATGACAGATGCATGTCTCAAGTTTTTACCCTTTTAATGTGCTTTGTTTCATTGAATTTGTATTGACTGGGCCCTAAGAGCCACTTTGTGGAACGGCCTTTGAATACACAATACACAATACATTGCGTCCGAACTGCACGCTCGGTAGCGCCAAACCGACTCACGTCCGAGCTGGGTGTGGTGGGCGGCGCCTCGGGCGGGTGGGTGCAGCAGGAGGGCGCCAGAGCCGTCCACGAGTCCAGCGTGTGGCCGGCAGGAACGCTGATGGTCAGCTCGTCCAGCAGCTGGGACCGACCGCTGTCCACTGCCGGTCGGAACGGGGCTTTTTTAAAAGAACGTCTAAAAAGACCGTGCGCGGCTATGTGCGTACGCTCAACTTTTGACTCCAAATTCTGTCATTGATCAGGAACTGCGCGATCGGAGGGTAGATAACCCTATATGGCCTTGGATAACCCGTCCGTCGTTTCCATTCTCAGGATGTTCAAATCCTTCTCCTCCACGCGCAACTCTCGCCCCGGGCTGGACAGACAACTTTATCTTATGCGGGCTGCTCCCTTGGAGCGGCACCTCTACTCCCAAGGGAGCACAACAAGTTCTGTTTAGCCGGGGCTCTGTCCCTGTGAATCCTTCCATTCAAAAGGCTCGGACAAAATTTATAAAAAAGACATAAATAATCATTCTTGCATTTCCGATATCGAGGTCTCTCATAATCCACACACCGGACCAGAATGTCACACCCATCACCCCTGTTCCGACCCGCTCACTGACCGGATCCCACGGCCGGCGCGGAGGTGTGTGTCTCGCCGCGGCTGTGCGCCCCAGAGCTGCTGGCGGCGCTCCGGAGACTGACCAGACTGCCCTCTCGGTCGGAGGAGCTGCGCTGAGAGGAGGTACTGCCCGGCGGCGCCGCGCGCTCCGCGGAGTTGGGGGCCACGGGGAGCTGCTCCAGGGAGTCGCCCAGGTGGTCGCCGTGGGAGTCGCCCACCATCTGGGACGGCTGCGGGACATAACGTGGGGTGAAAAAGGGTTCGAACAATGAAGACGTTCTTAGTTTAGTCTCTTGGGTTTGGTCTTGGTGGTAGTGACGCATGAAGCGTTGCAGTTTTTGACGGTTTCTTCTCATGTAACGTGCCGTCATTGAAATATCGTTAGACCTATTGCAATGTGTAGCACTACATACAGTTCCCACTATGGAGAGCCCGCTTTTATATTACTAGTGTTATGTGCCTGTGCGACATTGCAGTCTTTGGTGGTTCTGTCTTGTGAGGCGTTGCAGTCTCCAGTAGCTGCTGATGGTGTTATGGGCACATGCGATATTGCAGTCTCCACTGGCACTATTGATGATCGATATTGCTGTTAATGCATGTGCGATGCTGCAGTCTTCAGGGATGTGGTGTTAGTGTCTTGTGAGAAAATGCAGTTTCTGCTATTTTATTCAGTTGATTTGCGCTTTACGTAACTCCTCTATTCCGCCATTGGCTTTGTGTGGAGTCACACTCCCCGCCATAATTTGCTACTCGTATTGATGTAATGAGCGACATAGCTGTCCCTGGGATGGTGACTTAGCACCATGTCGAGTGTCGAATTCGTTTCACCCAGGAAGAATGAGTAATGGTTAGAAATAACTTGCATACATATGGCAAGGTATTTGTACTAACGATGTATAGCTTCCTTCATCCTACTGCAGCTTTTATCCAAACAAATAGAATCCCGCTTATCAGACAACCCGTGCGCGCTTACCGGTCGGCTCATGTCCATGGCGTCCTGCAGGTGGTAGGCGTTGGAGCACGTGGCCTGGAGCACCACCTCCTTAGGCGTGTCCTCCGAGCCACCCTCGTCATCAGCGTCCTTCGTCACATGTAGTGGCGCGCTCTGGGTCAGACGCACTTTCCTGGTGACGGGTGGAGAGAGAAAGAAAATAGACAGTGAATGAGGGAGACGGGAAAGAGAGAATGAGAGAACAAGGTAAACCTAAACCTCTTTGCTCTGAGTGGGCAGTGTAAAAGCGTTGTGAGATCATAAGCGTTTGGCTGACGAGCGGTTGAACACAAGAGCTATTACAGTAAGAAAGCATTTATGTTGTTTATACGGTGTCAGAAATGTCCGATGAATATTTCTACCGACCTGGGGCGATTATCGGGCCGGGGAGACGATACGATTCTGTGCATGGGCAGTGACTGAATACGGGCGAGGTCCACCCTCTTCCGTGGGTAGTATTTCTCGTCGTCCTCCGGGTTCGATATGAAAATCGGCTTATCTGTAACGTAATTACATAGGTCTGCTGAGTGCTGGAACGAAGTCACGGACACGTCCGAACAAACAGACATAGTAGTGGACGTCCGGCGTTACGGCAATATCGTTAAACTAAACTGCTGTTATAGGACATCAAATAAAAATAATTTACGCTATTGTTGAGCGATAACCACTCGCGCCCCGTTACCTTCCAGCACGGTGAGCGCGCAGAGGAAGCTCTGGAGGAGGTCGTCGCTGCGGCTGAGCCAGGTGAGCAGCGTCTGGTAGTCGACCGTCTCGTCGCTGGGCGCGCCGCTGATGTCCACCAGAAGGCGTTTGGTGTGATAAGGCCGGTTATAGGCCTCGTCCAGCTCCTCCAGACGCGGCTTCATCCAGTGGACCACCTAGTGTGACGCATCGGGAAGAGACACAACGTTTTAGATCCCTGGATTGACGGTCGAGCCCACAATCTCGAGTATAAACGGTTCCAGAACTCGTTAGTTTATCTTTTCGGTACAGACTAGAAAGTAGAAATATCGGATGCTAAGAGAAGGACTTACGTCTTCTGTAGGTGAAAGGCTTCAGCTGTTAACCATATGTGTTAGCACACGTTTATGCCAGATTGAATTTAATCGTACCAAAATCTTCTCCCAGACATACCGTGAGCGCCTGTTCCTGTGTGATCCGTCCACTCCGCTGTGGGTCAAAGACGTGAGCGATGGCCAGTGCCTCGTGGAGATCGAACTGGTCGGGCCGATTCCACGGCTCCAGCAGGTCGTACAGCAGGCCGCGCCAGCTCATCACCTGAAGCAAAATGCACATTGCACACGGTCAGTCCTGGTGCACTGTATCCTGCCTGGTTGGTTGAAGGCACGTTGGAAATTGACATGCGTCGGTGCAGCTCCTTCCTGCCGTGTTTCTTCAAACATGATTTTTGTCGTTTCACAAGCAGCAATGAAGCGGTGAAAGGATAAGCATATTGACCACCCTACCGCGTTCTCACCTCTGCTCCCGCCGCTATCCGCGCCGACAGGCTCTCGATCTCCTCCTGCGAGAGCGACATCCAGAGCGCGGGCAGCTCCTGGGTGCCGACGCCGCACGCCACCAGGTCCTGCAGGATGAAGCAGAAGGCGCGGGTGGTGATGATGCCGGACGGAGCGGCGGTGTGCAGCTGGCGCCACAGGCCGGCCGCCTGCAGCAGGCTGAGCCGGTCGCGCACCAGCGCCTCCTCGGTGGGCGGCGGGCTGGCCGGCAGGCAGGGCAGGTGGGTCAGCACGCCGGTGCGCACCAGGAACCGGTCCTGGTCGAGCAGCAGCTGGTAGTGGGCGCGCTGCTCCTGCTCCACCAGCCCGCGCAGGTAGTCCGCCATGTGGGTGGCCGCCTGCAGCTCGCGCCGGTACCGCTCCTCAATGGCCGACCACATGCCGTGGAAGGCGGCCACGGCCCGCTGCCGCAGCGCCGCTAGCTCCGACACGGCCCGCGAGCGGATCAGCGACAGACGAGCAGAGACGCGCGATGACTCCTCGCGGGCGGCCACCTGGAACTCTGCCAGCGCGCGCTCGGCCCACTCGTGGTGCGTGGCCAGCTCGGCCTCGGCAGCGTCCTCCTCGGGAGCGGCGCCCTTCTTACCACTCTTTGCCTTCGACGCGGGCGGCTTCTTGGCTCCCTTCTTGCCCCCAGCTGCTTCTTCAACCGGCAGCAGCGCCTGCCTCACCCTAACATCACCCTTCTCCTTGGTATCGTGCACAAACGACAGCATGGACCTGCAGGCCGAGTCGATGACGCCCTCCACGGCTGTGGTCACCTCGTCCGCCTGGTTCTTGCCCCTGACGAACTGCACCCGGGGCCGCAGCTGGGGCAGGTTGATGGTGGTCAGGATGGCGCTGCCGGAGCTGCCTGGCCCGTCCGCTCCCTTGCCGCCCCCTCCGCGGCGCAGCGGCCGGGCCGAGCTGCTGCTGCGGCTCCCCGAGTGACGGTCACTGCCGGCAGACGAGGCACCCGACCGGTCCGCCGGCTCCCGGCTCGGAATCTCGATCATCGCTGGGAAGACAGACGAGATGGGCGTCCGGTGATTTCGGTGAACACCTCACAAATAACGAGCATTCCGCATAAGAAATTCTGATTATTTGAGCACAATAAATTACAAAAAAAAACACGCAGTGTCTGACTCGTGTCATATGCGTTTAAGCTAAGGTCACAGACGACAAGTTTTTCTCCTGAAGTACGATATTTTTTCGTATGCTAACCCTGTTTGAATCCATGCACGCGCCCGCTGCTCTCGGGCAGCTGCGCTCCGCTCATGCTGACGTAGTAGTCCTCCAGTACCATGCAGGTGTCCTGGAAGCGGTCCATCTCGCTTTGCATCACCATCAGCCAGTTGTTGGCCGACAGCGCCAGCCTGACGGCAATAATCGTCAGATCGTCATCTCCGTACCATAACTATATTCACATTCACATATAACGATTTTTAAGCTGTAACTCGAAGAACATTCACGATTAGACGGGAAAAAACGTGCTCGATTTTCCTAAGCACGTCGTTCCTCTGGAGCGCACCTGTCCTCAATCCATCCAGAGGTCATGGCCGTGTAACGCTCCTGCTCGGCCTCGCAGCGCCGTGTGTCGGTGATGTTCCAGATGGTGCTCTCCAGCTCCTGGATGCGCAGGTGCCACTCGCACTTGACCTCCTCGTCTCGCTGCAGCGCCTCCTCCATCTGATTGTACTCCGTCACAAACCTGAGGAGAAGAAATGTTACAGGCCAAGATACTCAGTTGGTTCATTGGTTGGTCATAGGCTGGTGATACTATTAACCATTTAGCCTGACAAGAAGGATGACGTATTAGCAAGCAGCCGTGCTAAGTTGTTGCTGGGCCTTACCTGTCGAGGAACTGCTGTTTGTGATCCGGACGCAAAAGGAAGGCGTTGAACGATACCGTGATGGCATGCAGGTGTTGGATAACAGCAGCATGTTCGAGCCTTAGCCGTCCCAGCCACTGCTTCAGGTTCTCGGTGTAATTCCTCTCAGTTTGTTGCCAGAGTAATGCCAAGTACTGGAAAGCAGCATAAACGTTTAAATTAAGACGGCACGAGATATTATCTCACCCTATTTTCCATTGTTTTAGTTCTACGGATGTTAGTTTGTGCGTACAGTTAGTCTACAAAATACGAGTAAGTCCCCGACGTATGCGGGTCACCAGTGGGCAGTTAGCGCCTGAGCGCTACTCGGACGCCACCTGCCCGCATACGGAGAGGACTTATTTTGTAGACCCACTGTACAAACGATTTGAACAATGTTTGTATTAAATGTGTATTAAATGAAATGTGTATTAAATGAAACAGAGGAATGGAATTGCAACAGGGACATGTAAATTAGTACGCGAACGACTTTCGAAATTCACCTGTGCGACGCCCTCCGGTACCGGTGCATCCACGAAGTAATAGCCCATCTCGCCCGGGGTCGGCATGGGCGGCGGGGCCGGAATCTGCGGCAGGTCCTCTGCTGGCGGCGCTGGCTCTGCGTCACCCTTTCCCTTCCCTTTGCCCTTCTTCCCCTTGTCGCCGCTGTTCTTCCCGCCCTTGGGCGACTTGCCCTTGCCCCTTCCCTTCCCGGAGTCGGGCTCGGGCTCCGGCTCTGGTTCCGGCTCCGGCTCCGAGTCCGGCTCGTTCTCAGCAGCTGCCAGCTGGGCGGCGCGCCGCTCGGCCAGACGGTGCTCCTCGCGCTGTTTGGCCCGGCTGGCGCCGATCAGCTTCTCCAGCTGAGTCTCCACCGAGGCCAGGTCCTCGGCGCCCACCATGTGGTACACGCCCCGCTCGCTGTAGAACTCGATCAGCGGCTCGCGGAGCCGGCCGTAGCTGAACAGCTTGCCGGCCAGCGTGACGTGGTCGTCGCTGGCCGACTGGCAGGTGCCCGAGTCGGGCTGTTCGGGCACCCGGTCAATGCTCTGACAGCGCCGCTGCTGAGCCACCTCGTCGCTGACTGCCAGCTCTACCACCAGGTCCAGGCCGCTGGTCGGTGGCGGTCGCTCCCGGCGATTGGCGTCAGGCACCAGCTGGCTGCGTCGGAACGGCTTCACCCTCAGTCGCACGGGCTCAGGAGGTGGTGGTGGCGGTGAGGGAGGCGGCGTCTCCGCTGGAGGCTGTCCTTCCTTCTTATCCTTCTTGTCTTTCTTCCCGCTACCCTTCTCTTTCTTTTCTTTCTTTTCCTTCTTTCCTTTTTCCTTGGTGGCAGGTTCCGCTGGAGGCTCAGGTTTTGGCAGCGGCGTCACCACGATTTCCACTTCGTCTAGTTCCTCATCCGAGTCGTACTGCTTGCCGACCAGCTGCTCCTCCAGCAGCTCTGCCTGCGCCAGCGTGTTGGGGAAACCCTCGATGATCCAGCCGGATCCGTCGGGGAGCTCGCGCCAGGCCTCCAGCAGCAGGCCGGCCAGCGTCTGGTCGTGCACCTCCTGGCCGCACTCCAGAGCCTGTTTGACCTCTCGTCCCAGCTGCGCCAGTCGGCTGTACTCGAACACCACCGTGTCCTCTGACGCCGAGTTGGTGTCCTCGTCGCTGACGCCCTCGCCGTCCGTCGACAGCTTCGACTTGTCCTGCTCGCCGGAGCTGATGTCCTTGGTGGATGGCAATGCTGGTTGATCGGCGCTGGATGGGGGAGTGCCTGGTTCGGTGGGGCCTCCACTGGTCTGAGCGGATAACTTTCCGGTACCGTTCTCAGCGTCACCGGTTTGTTTTTCCACATCTGTGGACTCTGCGCCATTTGAGATAGACGACTTTTTAGAATCAGCTGAGTTGGTTGCATCTCCGGATTTTCCTGAGCCCTGTGTGCTTTCCTTGCTCTTGGCGTCCTTCAGCTTTGTCTGCGAGCCCTCGGTCTGTTGAACAGGTGGCCTTTCTCCCGACGAATTCTCCCGGGAAGCGTCGGCTGATGTCGGCAAGCCATCAGATACTGCTGTTACGTCGCTGGCTGGTCTTGCCTCCTGTTCTCCGCCTTCGGGTGCATCAGCTGCAGCATCCTGTGGCGGCGGCTGCTGCTGTGACGGCTGTCCAGAGTTCTCCCTCTGTATGTCCTCGCAGCTCTGGTCAGGTCCGAGGATGTCGGCTATTCGCAGTGTCTCCATCACCCCTGAGCCGGCTGCCTCCAGCTCCATCCGCGTCTCCTGCTCTAACGTCGCCAGGGAGCGCTTCACCAGGTCGTGCATCACTATGTGCCGCACATCCAGCGAGGACTGCACCCACTGCAGGCAGTGCGTCTTGCCGGCGTAGCTCTTGCCCATCACCACTCCCATTAGGGTAAATGTCGGCCGTTCAGGGGCCTGGACGCTCGGTTTGGGAGGGTACACGAGTCGCAGCAGCCGGTGCACCACGAACCCAGTCACCACTGCCGACTCGACTCGCAGCGCCATGTCGTCGCGAGCCTGGGCGCTGGGACTGCGCTTCTTGCCGCTGGCGCCGGGGATGATCCAGCGCCCGCTGACGGCCAGGTAGTCGTCCAGGTCGTGCTGCTGCAGAAGCGCCTGCTGCCGCTCTCCGGGAGCACTGGTGGCGCTCAGTTCGGCCGGCTCTCCGCCGCCGGACAGCGACTCACCGCGCAGAAACAGCTCGCGCCAGTCGTTCTGCAGGAGAGCGGGGACCTCCCTGGAACGGAGGGATCATATGGTTCCACAAAACAATCAGGTCATCCAAGCATCCTCAGTGAACTGTGAGACAATGGCTAGTTATTTTGGCGTCATATTTATAGCTCCTATGCAGATGCCGACCATTTCCGTCAACTAAAATTCATTTTTATTTCGAGAACAACGCCCGGTGCCTACCGACTTCCTACTCATTTTGAGTTTCAACCACCAAGTACCCACTTGTCTCCCGACTTTGTCTTGTAGTCGACGGTGAGCACGGCCATATCGAGGCAGAATGTGACGACGTCGGCGGCCAGCTGCCAGCGCCGCTGGCTCTTCTGGTCTCGGCGCTGCTGCAGCAGACGCCGGTGCAGCTGCGACTCCTTGAGCAGCTCCTCCTGGTGCTCCATCCGCTTCTGACCGAGCAGGTCCATCTGCTGCTGCACGGACCTCTCGTACTCCTCCTGACGCCGCTCCTGGAACGGGAGTGTGGGTATGGTGGTGCTATAGGGATCGTGAAATGAGCGCCACTTACGGTGACCTGACATCATGTGGAAAAGAAGCGATGCTTCTTTGACATATTGACATGGGGCCGAACAGAACAGGGCTGTTTATACGGTGCCGTGAGATGGGGTCGTAAAACGAATGTGCTTTCATAAATGGTGGCTACATTTTGTTGTGTTGTCGATGAGTTAGTGCTTTTTATATGAACTTTATTATTCATTTCACAATACAGCCGTGAAGTTATAGCATCAAGTAAGTATCCCTGATCCGAAAAATGATCGAAACCTCGTCTACCACGACTTCAGCCAGCTATGCGAGCCTGTTGCTCGGCGGCGATTTTGCATCTCCAGCCATGCGCGCCTGTGTTATGTTTGAGTCTCGTCGTGTCCGGTCGGCCTTGAACCCTGGCCATGAGGGACGGTTTGGACTGCTCAGACGGTTAGTAGTTATCGACGACGGGGCAGCGGTGGTCGTTAAACTTTGCGTGGCGCGTGGGCTGCTTGGAGGGGTTTTGAACGGTAAGTTTATTTCAACAACCATTTTCTCATTTTTATGTGGTGTTTATAAACAGGTACTACTTGTTACTGGTAATGCTCGTTGTCTCATGGTAATTTGTGCACTACTGCTATTTATTTTATTACGTAGCTAGCGTTTCCTAGACTGATATAGGTAATAAATAATCAAGAACAGACTATCGATCAGTCTAAACACAAGCAGGTCCATTTTCTTTTTCAGTGTCTGCGTCGCCTGATCGGCATCGTCGTCGTCGCCCGACCGGTCACCACACATGCAAAGCAAAAGAACACCTGACGTTTCCAGTGTCTGAAACAGTGCGTCCCAAAATGTCACCGAAGCAGAGCGTGCTTATGGTGGGAGGCAATGGCCTAATGGGAGGCGAGACAGCGTCACTTCTGATCTCCGAGGGCACCTTCGACCTCACTCTGCTGAACCGAGGCACCGTCTACTTCGACTCAGCTCAGCGAATAGACCCTCACGTCAACCACATCCACTGCGACCGCAGAGGCTCACTCGCCGAGCTAGAATCCGAGACGACCTGGCGCGGTCGCTGGGACTTCGTCATAGACTTCTGCGCCTACCGCGCGTCTGACGTCACCAATCTCCTCGCAGCCCTGGACGGCAGGTTCGGTCACTACGTCTACATCAGCTCCGACTCTGTGTACGAGGTGAGCGCACCGTCCGCTGGAGAAGGGCCCAGCGTGGAGGAGGATGCTCGCCGGCCCGAGGACCCGGCCGAGCGCGCGCGGCTAGCGGCTGCCGATCCGTACGGGGACGGTAAACTGGCGGTGGAGGAGGCGCTGGAGGCGGCCAGAGTGTCGTACACGGCACTGCGTCTGCCGGACGTACTCGGGCCGCGCGACACCTCGCGACGCTGGTGGGTGCACCAGGCGTGGTTACAGCACGCGCCTCTGGTCGGCCGACCGGTACCGGTGTCTGCGTCAGTGGCAGGTCGCACCACCAGCTACGTGTTCGCTCCGGACGTGGCTCGCGCCGTGCGTCGAGTCATGGAGCTGGTGAGCACGGGCCAACCACCCACGGGTGCCTTCAACCTGTCTCTGGGACGGGACTTCACCCTGCCGGAGCTGCTGCAGGAAATCGCCACTGAGCTCGGCGGGCTCACACACCCACTGACTGAGCTGACTGACGACCCGGCTCGGCACGGTCTCCTGCCGTCAGTGGACGATACGCTGCCCTCAGTCACCCGCGGCCCCGTGTCCATCGCCCGCGCCCGCCGGGAGCTCGGCTTCGAGCCGACCCCGTGGCCACAGGTGCTGAGAGAGACGGTACAGTTCTGCAGGGAGGCGTTCTACAGGTTCCCAGAGGAGCGGCAGCATGTGCTGCAGAACCTGAAGTATGTCGCAGTGGACGATGAACATCGACAGCGATTAGAAGACGCATTTGCGAGGCTCATAGAAGAGGGTGCCATGAAGTCATTGTGATCGGATTTGTGACTTTGTGATCCCTTGTCAGCATGGCGATAGTATTTCCCGTAATGCAAATAAAACGATAAAATTTATTATTTTCTACAGCCTCAGCAAATCTTCGCATCCAGTCACAGTTACCCCTCACCTGCATTTGTTGGTCCTTCTCGAGTCGGTTTCTGATGATGATCTGTTTCTGGCGCTTGATGTCGGTAAGGTGGGCGGCCAGCCGGAGCTCGTAGTCACCCTGGCGCAGCAGGCGGCGCACCAGGTCCAGCTCGCGCTGCTCCTCCTCCTGCTGCCGCTGCTGGTCCCGCAGAGCCAGGTACATCTGCTTCCGCCGCTTCTCGCGGTCGAACCGCGCCCGCGTGTCGCGGTCCAACTGGTTACGCAGCTTGTGCACGAACTGCTGGTTGGCCTCGGTGTTCACCAGAGCCTCGGGAATCATGTCCGGGGTGACTGTCGTCTGGAATGGTGAGAAGAATGTGCTAGGAAAAAATCCATCCATTTATAACATTTTATTACCGCCTGATGTCATTCTCAGTAAACTTCACCGCTTAATTTCCCGAACAGGGTAAAAATATTTTAAAATTTTACCACGGTACGTCTTCCACTCTTCACTCTAACCGTAAAACTATGGCCTGTCGAATTCACGGCCTCATCCGCTGACCTGCAGAAACTCGGCGTTCCGGACGTCCTCGTACTTGCTGCGCCGCAGGTCGGCCGTGTTGTCAAAGTGCTCGATCTGCTGTCGCACGGCGGCCGCCTCCGCCTTCTGCCGGTCCTTTTCTCTGCGGGCGGCCGAGCGGACTGTACTGCGGAACGAGCGGCCCCACAGCTTCGCCGAGTCTCCTGGGGAGGGGGAGGGGGCAGTGAGACACGGTCAGTGGGCTGAGATGGGCTGACCGAGAGGATGTGCATTGTGATAGACGTACGTACATTGGTCCCGGAGACGCTTTATAGCGAAAACGCTGATGTATGAAGATCTAGCCACTCACCTTTCATGTATTCCTCTGTCATCTGTTGTTTGATATCCTTCGCCCTCTCCTTCTTCCTCACTCCCTCCTTCGTGATCCTTTGTTGACATTCTTTGACCAGGTGGCCTTCAGTGATCCTCGTCTGGAAGTTATTAGAAATTAATATATCGGACAAAAATCATAAAAACGATTAAATCTACTAATCATTGACCTTCTATTTCCGCAGTCGTTTGCAGAAAAAAAGTTATTTCATATAATCGTTCCACTATAAATGCAGCTTGCTGGAACAGTGTCACATGAACACATCTACCGGTCACAGACACGTCTTTCCAGTTACCTGAGTCACGTCTCGCCCGTAGCACTGGCAGGTGAGTCCCAGGCTGGTGACTCCCGAGTCGCGCAGGTCAGGTTGCGCCGACTCTCGCAGTCGCTCCTTGTAGGCGTCCGGCAGAGGTTCCGGTGACGGCTGCCGCAGGTGGTCGCGCGGCTTGTGCAGCGCGAGATATACCTGACGGACCGTGGCGGCGAGAGGGTGACAGATCGATGAAATAATTGTCTGCGCTCACAACCACAGCATAAAAAGTGGCTGTTCCCCCGAAAAAAATATTGGAACCTACTCAGCATATGCAATAACCGAGCACTTCAAGGAAATGAAATATGAAATAAAAGATAAATGCCTTCTATTCAATCATTAGATATCTACTTTATTACCTACTTTATTCACTTTTACGTCTACCTTATTTACGAAGAGCAAAGAAACAGATGAACGTTAACTTATAGCATCGAATGATTTCTTGGAAACTGCCATTGACAAGAACCAAGTTTGAATTAAACGGCATTAACTGATTTAATTAAATTAAACGGCACTAGGCTAACTATATTTGCGAACTCAATATCTGATTGAATTAAGCGTTAACTAAATTAGCATCAATTGAATCAAGTGATAGCATTCATTAGATTAAACGGCTTTAGGCTAACTATTCTTTACCAACTGATTACCTGATAGATCAGGTATGTGAGACTTCCCGGCTTGTCGGAGAGAATGTCTCGGGCTTGTCGTACTGACAAATTGACTCCCAGCGACTTCATGTACGGACCTATCACAAGGAAGTTGTGCAGCCTGTGAAAACAGAACGGTCAACATCATGTGGGAATGTTTGTCTATATAGGAGCATTATTCTATAGAATCTCTTGTACCTACATTTTTGTTACATACTTGACATGCGTCCCTTTTGATTATCCGCAACACGCACCTGTAAATATGGCACCTATCTTTCAAACGCTTCCGGCTCATGAGTCATGACTATATGCCACGCCTTTTTCCCACGCTCCCCCGGCCCCTCCCCCCGTGGCAATCGAGAGCTCCATTCGGAACGGCCGCCGCCGGCGCCTGTCAGCCAATGAGAGGGCGGTGTCCTGTTACGAGGGTGGGATCGCTCGCTCCCACGGCGTCCGAGCCAATCGCGAGTCGGGATCATATAACAGACGCCAGTTGGCTGTTCGCTCTGAGCCAATGAGATTGTTGTTTTTTGTTTGGTTGGGTTAGGCCCGAGCGGCCCGAGCCAATGAGAGCCAAGAGAGCCAGAAACGGGGCACTTGAGTGGCTACTGCCGATTCCATTTGTGAAAAATTCCCGTGGCATAAATTAAATCAGGCTAGACATTTAATCGGCTAAATAACGATGAACAAGTGGTGCACAAGACTACATACCTGTCTTCATACAGATCGTTGGTACGAAGCTGATCGAACTTCTTGTCGGGGAGAACTCCTTCAACATGCAGTACTTTCCCAATAAGTTGACCTGGCGGTAAGACAAATTAGGCATTGGTTACACGGAACGTTTATTTTTCGTTCGTTACCTAAGGAAGCGTCCACAGATAGGGCATCGGCATAATCATCGTTTGAAGGTAGGTACCTAATCTAAGGACCAAGCAAAGCAAGAGATGAAGATAAATGGCTTGAGCAGGCACTTTAGAGCTGTAAAACAAATGGTTCACTGTGTCTTGTTGGACAGGCTGTCAGCATCGACTCACCATTGCTGAACTGCTGTAGAAATGTGTCGGCATCCCTCGCAACAGGTATTCGTAGCTCCTCGTCAAGCCAACGATACAAGATCTCAGTCATATTGTTATTTGATTGTTTGAAATATGCTATGAAATCGCTTTCATTCCCTTTTCAGGCCGGGTTCATACTGATGACAGAAGTTTTTTCTGTATTTTACGTGAATCATCTGGTTATCATCACATTTGAAAACTTTTGAAAGCCAGCGTTCCAAAGAAACCGAGACAAATATGCCGTTTATCAATAATAAGCATTCTATCCTATTGAATAAATAAGGAAGCTTTTACACATGTCACTCCAAAGTCACTTGCAATTTTCTTGGCGCTTGATTTTTTACCCGCTCGTGCTCTTGTTCTCTTCAAACGCCAAGCGTGAGGCATCGCTCGACGCTTTTGCCTTCAACCACCATACCTGTGTTGATATGTTTCGTGATTCTTTTTTATTTTGAGGCAATTAATAGTTATCGTTTCAGTTTATTTTCCTCACAAATCAACTATTATGTTCAAGGTATGTAGGTAGTTGGCTATTGGCTAAGTGGTCTGTACTACTACAATCCTTATGATTGGTTTTCAAAGCAATGGCTTACGTTTTTGTCATCTAGAAAACTTTGTTACGCTTCAATCTGAGTCACGTTTACATACCATAGAAATTGTTTCATTATATACACATTAAGTTTATTCATTTCCACAAGCAGAGAGCGGAATGACCCCGGGCATGAGATGCAAATGACTTACTGAAACGCATCGCATGCACCGATCGGACGGACTTTTCTTTTCGTCTCTCTCGGCGTGACTGCTAAGGTCGCCAGTCTCGTAACAGCATTCCATCAATGGCTCTGTGGCAGCGTTCACATTCGAAGGAGGCTAAAAGATATGAGCACCTGGCGCACACAAGAGTACTACCTGTTACATTTCGAGCTCAATACATTACATTCATTCACGTCGTGTTTGTTTTTTTTTTTTTTGTTGGGTTAGGCCCTTTCGGTCGACAAGACCATTGCAGAGCCGGAAGGATGATAGGAATTAGGGGGAGACATTGGTCTGGGCAGGCACCCTAGTGAGTCGCCGGGGCTGAGCCCGTCCAGAGGACAGGCCACCCAGCCCCAAGGCACTCACTGCACCCGGCTACGGGGTGCGCTCCCTCAGGAGCAGCGGTGCCGCTCCAAGGGAGCAGCCCGCATGAGATAAAGTTGCCTGTCCAGCCCGGAGGGGGGTTACGGCGTGGAGGAGAAGGATTTCAGTATCCTGAGGATAGAAGCATGGAAAGGTGGATTCACGTCGTGTATAGCCAACGCACACATATCTCATCCATGCAGGTCCTTCGATAAATTTAATGTACAGAGTGTGCAGGCATAAAGCAGGTCTCATACGAAGATATGAAGATCATACGAAGTCTTTCGCTCTTTACCGATGCGCAAAATGCACGTTCACTGACATCGTCACCTGTTGCACTTCATGCTAGCAAGCATTCAATTTTATGAAGTTCATCACACAAGCACAACGGACACAAACTCGCTGGCATAGTTCCAATGGTAGCAAAGACACCGCAACGTACAGGCTTTTTCATGTTAGAAAACCCAGTGTCACGGCTACCTAAACGTTAAATAGCCACAGCAGACATGAGCAGATGAGTCCTTCAGGCCGCAGCACAGGAGGAGACCTACCTCTCCGCAGTGTTTTAGTCTCGCAAGTCTGCCAGTTCCGCCATTGGCCATTATAATTGGTATGGCAGCTTCATCCCGCGAAATGTATAGCCCCAAGACATTCACTCTACACCCAATTCACATACATCGCACACAGGACTTTGCTTGAAGTTCCCACCACTCCCCAGACTGCGTCCCTCCGGATTGTCCTGCTACGTTGGCACGTTCAGTGGTCACCATGAGTCAAACAGCGAACAATAAACACAGTTAAACAGTATTTCAGGCGCCTGCCAGCCGCCATCCAGCCGTCGTGAATATCTAGCACGGGTCTCCGACGTCCGTCTCTAACACCAGTCTCTAGCCCCCTCAGTCTCTCCGAGCTGATCGAACACACCTCGTACCGTCCCAGTGACGTCATTTGGCCACTGAAGACTGGCGGCTCATGTCCTGAAGCACGTCATAGTGACGTCATTGCGGGCGGGCGGGCGTACGCCTTGGGGATAAAGCCGTGCTTGCGCGACTTGGGTGAGTAGGCCCACAGCCAGCCGTCCACCGTCTGGTTGTTGAGGTCGGCGTATATCCAGTCTCCCCGCCGCACCGACAGGTCGTCAGGAGCCTGGGCCTGCGCGCAGCGGATGGAAGGGGACAGGGGTCATAACAGGGGTCACTGGCATCTGTCCGGCATCTTTGATGAATGAACGGTACGGGTCATTTCTCGTGGTCCGTAGCTTGGAATTAGTATCTAATATTTTGAGTGCCACTAACTCACCAATCGTCCTCTCCTCTGCCTGTTCCTAAAAGGGCGCACTGACATGTGCCAAATATAAACTATCAAATGTTGTCTAAAACTATCAAATCATAAAATGCTGACAAAATCGCACTATACCCCGCGTTGCTGTCAGCAGAGCCGCCTGTTAACTCACCTTGTAGTCATAGAGCATGACCAGTTCTGTGCCGTGGAACCGCGGGTCATCCTGACCCGGTGACCCCATGTGGTGACCTCCGTGACCTCCGGGGGACGAGGGGAACTGCTGGTGCGTCGGGGGACTGCCGCCCGGACCCAGATCACCTGGTGACGGGAGCAGGTCAGATCACTGGGTTAGATGCATTTGAATGCATTTCGTTTTAGGTCATTCTTTAAATAATTGTGTATCAAATGCCTGTAAAATATAAACATCACCCATTTAGAAATATAGCATTCGTATTTATCAAACACGTTTGATGTGCCACTGACCTGACACCGTTTCACCGGCACCGTTTCCGATTCTATCAGTTATGGCATTGACGGAAACTCGTGACATGATAGTTTCCTTGGCATAAAATTGGTTATAAATTGGGTGAACTAGACAGTAAAATAGATATTCTTCAACACACTGAAGAAAATCTCACAATAATTTCGCCGAGACCGCCTATATTTGCCGTTGCTTACCGCCGGGGCTGCGTTTATTCCGGGGCGGGTCGGCCGTGGTGCGCGACCAGAACGCCTCGCCGGGCAGCACGTCGGCCGGGTACACGAACGCCGACGGCACGAAGCCCTCCTGGCCGTCGGAGCGCTCGATCCAGAACCACTCGTGGTCCTCCTTGTTGAGCACCGTGACGAACTCTCCGCGCTCCACCGATACGTCGTTCTCGTCGCGCGGCATGAACGTGTAGAGCACGATATAGCGGCCCGCCGGGTCCTGTCGGCCGAAGCGCGAGCGGTCAGTGGGCGGAGTACGTATGTACAACATAAGTAGTGTGAGGACGAGATATTAGGAGAGCGTCGCGTGGTATGAACCCTGAAGGGTAATGATCCTTGAAAGGAAAGTATCGTGCTGTGAACGGTTCAAGACTGAGATTCAATCCCATAGCTACAGCAGGTTGAAGCTCCTAGCCAGCCACAAACAAGCGGAAGAATGCTTTTATAGTCAGGTTTTCCCAGAGAAGCGTTAAACGACACGGAAAGAGTGAGCCTGAAATGGTAAACTTAGACAGAAATAGGCCCAACCTAGCATGCAACGCCTCGGAAGCAAGCAAGCCGGGCTGTAAGGCGAGCTGTTCCATGGGAACGGGAGATACCACATCATTAGTATGCATCAGGATCAGGAATGATGATTTATCAGAAATACTATATAATGTATTTTCTGTTCATCGAAGTAGAGAGCTGAACGTATTTTAGCGAATTATTTGTGTACTTGCCAATGTGTAGATCTTTTCCATCAAAATTCATACAGCAGAGCATGATCCTCTTTGAAGAATATATTTTATTCAGACCGTGACGTTTCAGGAGCGTCATGTCTGCTCTTCTGTTTACCTTGAAGAAGGGGTGGACGTCGGGCGCGGGTCCGCTGTGTCCGGAGGGTGTAGAGCGCGGCTCCGGCCGGCCACCCTCCGTGAAACTGTCGTTATCCGACGTCTCGACACCATTCCGATCTGAGAAAACCGGCGGTTCTGTCAGCGACACTCGGTAACTGAGGAGTGGACCGTCAGTGGTTTGCTGTCCGCTGTCCTACGGGTCTGCGGACCAAAGCGGAACGCCGCGGAAAACCGCGGAACACAGCGGGCCGAACGGCGGGGGATGCTGCGGCGGACAATTAGGCGACCAGCTACGAGAGCATAGAGGGCCGATTCATCTGTCATGAGGTGTCGTCAGACATCGGTAATCATCGATATAAAAGAAACCGAATGTATCGCTTTGATCAGCAGCCGCGGCGCTATCGCATAAATCGGACATGCGCAATCGTTAATCAAACGAGCCATACAGTTTGGAAGTTTGGAGAATGGGAGTGCGTGGGATCGTGTGCGGCTATATTAGGATAGGTCTTTGTTCAGATAGTCTCTTGAGTAAACGTGAGAGCTGAGACGATCTCCATCAGATGCCAAAATGTTAGTTTTATTCATATTCATCTTTTGACCTTTTAATTACCTGCTGGGTGGTGCATCGCACCTTCCAGGCGCACCTGGAATCGTTTCACTACCAACTGACCGAACAGTAATGGCTATTGGCTAGGGCTGAAGCCTCAACAGCTCAGGAAAATAACTAAACAGTAAACACATAGCACATCGCTATCTCAGTGCCATTTCTCGGCCGTTTACCTGTGCTGGCGTTGCCGATGATTGTGTTGTGGTCTGCCTCTCCGCCGCCACCGCCAGGTCCAGCCCCGCTGCCATCCGGAACCGTCAGCTCGCGCGGAAGCTTCTTCTGCGGAAAATAACACAACGGTACTCAACGACGGTGGTGACTGTGTGTTAGACGGCAGAGCTCAGTAAGCTACTTTAAGTAAGACATGGAAAGTGAATAGCAATCATCAGCAGAGTGATAGGCAGAACCTATTTCAATTTCTATCGAACTTGGCGAGCGTCCTGAAATGAAATGACCGTTATGAAAGCCCTATGGGAGCACTTTGTGAATCGTGATGGATAGCTGGAAGTTGGAACAGCATGATGGAAAGTGTCTGAACGTAAGGTGACTGGCAGCTTACAGTCAATGGCAGTATCGGACGTAAAGACGACTGAGTCACCAGCCAAGCGGCACATTTGTCAACTCAGACGACTGCCTCGACACGGGAAACAGCGTCCTCACGCGAGGCACAGTGGGACATTTTATACCACCGGCGACGACGTCTTATATCCCGCGCCCTGGTGGGGTCTGTTTATAACGCGACCTGGTGGGGGGGGGGCTATTTTTTGCCCCCCCCCCCCCCCTCGTATCTCCGAAACTACTGGACGGATCCGCAAAATTCAAACGGCGTTCGAAAGGCCTGTCAAATTTGTCGAAGGAAACCAAATTTCATTGACCTCGGGGTCACCGATGACGTCACAGGTCAGGTCAAAGATGAAATGTTTCACCGTTCACGGGTCATCTAGGGAATGCGCTATAACACCGAAGAAAACGCATTTTGTCGAGAATCAGCGATAGGGCGTCAGTTGCCTAGTACATATATTGCTATAAGAGGTCACTGACATTACCAGGTCAGGTCACAGGTCAGGTCACCAAGGGTCACAGGTCAGGTCACATGAACCTAACTTTAGGTACTAAGGTTGTGCGATGCATGTTTTATGGCCAATTTTTCATTTCCAACTCAATGGTGTTGGTTATAAGACTATCAGGTACGGCTTAGGTCACTTTCTGGTGGAGGTCAGGTCAAGGTCAGGTCAAAAAAGGTCAAATTTCAAAGTTGATATTTTTGCATAAAATGGGTATTGATTCGATGCAGCTCGTCACGGGGAGTCTAATGGTGGTCTTTGTTTTGCGCTACGAGGTCTAGAATTGCAAAAAATTGAGTTTGAAAATTTGACGTCATCAATTTTGAACACTTTTTTCGCTGTAACTTGGCCAAAAAAAGAGGTATCGATCTCAAATTTGGTATGTAGATAGAAGGCGGTAAGGACTATCACATATATTCCGGTTTTTTCGAAATTCAAAAAACTTTTTGGATTTTTCGACTATTATAATAAAAAAATCTATTTTTTGATTTTTGGGGGTCAAAATCCAAAAATTTTAAAAATCCGAGATAGCAGTTTTGTAGCCCTGTCAATTCTACAGCTTTTATGTCTTTATCGTTTTTCTGTATTTGCAAAGCTATAGGCCTGACAGCTCTTCCCGCGAAACCCTTTTTTGGGTCGAAAACGGCAGAACATGACGTCACTCTGACGTCATTTCCGGCCAACCTATCATAGCCTTTGGAAAAATTTTTGGTCACAATGTGTAAAATTGATGTCCGGGAGGGTACTGAAAGTTTGGTGACGATCGGCGCAGCGGTTCTGGAGATATATCGAAAAGTCTGGAGGGGGGGGGGCAAAAAATAGCCCCCCCCCCCCCACCAGGGCGCGGGATATCTAATGTGACTTAGATGTGCATAATAAAATATTTTAGAGGTAATGTGTTTTCTACAAATAACTAACATTTTGGACAACAGACCTATGAAAAATAGGAACAGTTGACCAAATGCAATCCTCAATAGTATACGGCTAAAATGATAATTTATAGTCGATTTAGCGGCATGGGTGGAGCTTTTCCAGGGAAGTTGGTGGGACAAAAAGTCGTCAAACCCACAATATGGCCGATCATGAAATAGAATAAAATGCCACACGGAATCAATTCCCATCATAAGAGATATAATATTTTGCATTAAACAGACATTCCAAAGCTCTTAAATGCGAAAAAGAGATGCTTGCAAAGCAACAAAGTCTTAGAAATCAGCTAAAGTTGGTGGGACAAAACGCTTATTGGTGGGGCAAAACACCACGCCCCACCAACTGTATAGGAAGCTCCGCCCCTGTTTAGCGGCGTCTTTAGCACATTTAGAATGCATTAACCACACTTATGCCGTCTTTAAATACCCGAGCCCACTCTAACCATAATTCGACAGAGGTGACTTAGAGCGGCCACAGACCAGTGCCCGCCTCCTCACCTTGACACTGAGCGCGAGGTCTGCCAGCTGCGAGCCGTGCGGCGCGCAGTACGAGTGCGGTATGAAGCCCTCCTGCTGACTGCTCTCCGATATCACATACACCCAATCGTTCTCCTGGTACAGCACGTTCACAACCTGCCGGAGGAGGTGGGTCGGCGTCAGGTGTCCATAGGGTCAGGTAGTTGTAAGGTCAGATCAACATCGGATCAGGTCACCCGTCGTGCCAGGTAGCTACCGGGTCATAATCGCATACTCAATCGAAAATTATCGTCGAAGAGTCAAGAAAAGAGATCTACATACGTAAAAAGTGTGATGATTACGATTATCACAGACAACAGTGACACTAAAGCAGAGGCTGAACTGAATAAAATGTCGACACTGTCCGATTATTGTTCCGTGTCCATGAGAAAAGTATCAGGTCAATGGCCTCTAATGATCCAGCGTAGGCTGTACTCGATGGCTGACCATTATTCGGGCGCCTTTCGTCTGTACTCACAGCCATTGCGTGTCCAATGAGCGTAACTTGTTGGAAATGTCCCGTGGCGACGATCAATGATCAGAACCACGTAGAAAGTGGTGACACTCCGCCATCCGTCATAATTAAACCGTAAAAGTCCAGACTGCTGGGAGATATCGGTGTCTGATTATCCCGAGTGACCTATGTTGAATAAATTCTGGCATACTTTTTTGTAATTTATCGACTACATCCGTAGGGGAGAGCGGGGCCAGTTGAAACACGGGGTCAGATGAAACATGGTTTTATTTTCAACACTATGCAACATATGGCGTTGCCGACACCACTGCGCATCCGCGCTCGACCACTTCCTTTGTCAACGGCGTTTGGGCGGCAAACGGACGGTAATTTTGATTTGACACTTGTTTTTGTGTTTTTGAGGGGCGTTTGGGAGAAATCGTTTTTATGAATGTTTTGTGATATCTCATATACCTTTGTTTGCTGAAAGAAGAACTCCTGGCTCCGGAATAACACCTTATTTGGCCCTTCATTCAGCATGATGCCGTCTCTCCAGGTCGTTTGACATGTGCTTTGCGGCGCGTGCGAGATGGCGGGAGCGGATGGGGTCAATTGAAACGCTTCTCTGAGGGTCAGTTGAAACAGGGCCACAGGCCGTTTCAATTAACCCCGGTGACCTTTGCAATGGTTATTGTTCAGGGGCTGTAAACATTAAAGGAAATAGTCCACCTTTGAAATGAGCTTTTAAACTGAAATAGTAGTTTAAGAGAGCTTAATTTTTTACCCCTTTTTCTCCAGCCTTTTGCTTGAAAGCACACTATAGCCTGAGATATTTCTCATTTTTCTCATCCGCCCATTTTACCATAGTCTATGTACTTTATGTCACCTATTATGAGGAACTTTGCACTTTTAGCTTTCCAACGACCTATTGAATGTAGCATTTGGAAAAGTAAACCGGACAAAATATCTCCTTAAGGAAGTGGCCTTAAAGAGGAAAACATCCCAAACATGCATTGTTAAGGATAGGTGCAATTGACCCCATGGGCTGGTTCAATTGACCCTCGCATCGGGGTCATTTGAAACGGGCGTAGAGCTGTTTTATAAGCATGCGTTTGGCAGCAAAATATGTTAGAAACATAATTTTACATACCTTAAAATAAAGCCAAAAGAGCATATTTTTTCATGGCATTGTGCATTTTTCGATATGACAACTAGATCTCGCTGTGCATGTCAATATATAAAAAGTGGTTCAACCGGCCCCGCTCTCCCCTATGTACCCGTCATCAGATGGGAAATCTTATTCTACATGTATACACTTTACAAGCTCATAGCTTTCTTTAATGAAAATATGTAACTTTATATAAACTTGCTGCTTGCTTGAGGCAACATACACAATAAAGGAGTAATAGTCCCCACTCTTATACGTGCCAGATGGATGATTCAAGAATACCAGGGATGCCTTGCATAACCAAATGGATAATTAACCCAAGACGGGGAAACAGGAAGACCAAGTATAATTAGTATGTTTTTTTCTGTCTACTTACTCCACAAAAGAAAAAAACTGAATATTCATATGCAGCACTGTTTTGTCTGTTAATCTGCTAATTTAGAGCGCATAGAGATCAGTCGCGTGACTGGCTGCGGTCCATCTGGCGGGAGAGCGGCCCTCTGAGTCGGGGTGGGTGCCCGTGTGGTGCCCCCGTCGGTGGGCAGAGACCGTTACCCAGCTGCTCATAACTGGTTCTGATGGCCGGAAGGCCCCATGAAAGCAGTGCGGATGCCTGGCACAAAGCATAATGCATGCATGCACAATGCACATGGCACAGCACATGCTACATGAGGCCAGCTTGTAGGCTCGGCTATATATAGAGGCAGCAAAGGTTGTTCACTGCTTCAAAATGCGAAGACAATTGCCTCCGGACTCGGATCTATTCTATGTAGGTACCGTAAAGTGGGGCTATTTGAAACGGATTTTACTGTTTTTGGCCTCTCCTTTCAAAACGGTTGATATTTCCTATAGCATGTAAATTGCAAAAACGTAGTTCTCTGTAACCGCTTTCAGATAGGTCAATTTTTGTTCAGCTAGAAACCATAAATAGTTATTTTTCTAATTGAACCCTGTTTCAAATAGCCCCATAGTGTGGGGCTATTTGAGACAGTTTTAGTTGCAAGGATATTGAAGAAAATTGGTCAAGCTAGGGATAATTCTTTTAATGCCATGCGATTGGAAATTAGATTTTGATACTTCTGGCAAAAATCATTTCTTTCATCTACAGTTATGCAACCCTTATAATCAAATTTTTCGTTTTTCGTTGGACACAGCATTTCGGTTTGCTAAAAAATTGCATTACTTTATGCTAGGACTGTCATAATATGATGTGATCCTAAGTTCTAAAAATATCAGGATGATTATCTAAGACTATTTTAAAGTAAACGACAGAGAAATTTTCAAATAAAGTTGTTGTGTTTATATCTGGCGGCGTAAAACATATAGGCCGAAAGTTGGTGGGGCTATTTGAGACAGGCTCGCTACTGCATTAAACGCTCCGTAATGCATTAAAAAAGGGAAAGCAGTTTCCAAAATGGTTGAATGAATGATACGCATGATCGATTGTTCCATTGCACATCGACTTGTGAAGAAATAATAGAAAAAGGTCAAACGGTTTTGATTTCATGCCGATTTTCCTAGATCACTGCATGTTGTATCGAATGGCCGGTTACCGCACTGCATCAAGTACGGATGCATCAAGCATGTATGATAAATAACCTTAAATGGTGCTTATGGTCAACCAGACTAGACATGGGTCGATTACCGACCACGTCAGTGACTGATGAAAAACGTTCTATGCACGTTGCACATATTCATACAGGCAACTAATATCGTCACAAACTGGATGGTCGCATTAAGTTATAATGTGTAAATATTGCTTGCTGCTAAAAGTACCATGAACCCATGGCCGATTCATCGGTGTTCCTTAGGTCAAACGTTTGATACACCTTAGGCAGATGGCGGTAAGTCTTTAGGATGCATCATATCACCCGTTTTAGGGCCTTGGCATCACAATCATCGGCTGTATTTGGTATACGTTGAGGTTTAACGAGGTGGGTATCATCGGGATTCTGAGACATCGGGTTACACAATTGTCACTACCGCTAACAATATATAATGTCTTCATGTAAAATGTGCGAAGCCCATAAGTAAAACGATAGTTACGATAGATTTGGTTGCAAAGTTTTTAAAACTTCAACAATGTTAAGCTGCAGGTAGGGGTGCTTTTCGTATAACTGAAGTTGTGGTTTTTCTGTATTTCTCATTAAATGGCAAATTTCTTTCCAAAATTTTCAAAATTTTCAAAAAACCCTATCCATGGAATTCATTAATAAATTCCACATCAGCTTGAGCAAAAATTGATCAAAAATATCAAACGGTTTTAATTTTTCAGCAATTTTGCTAAGCCACTGCCGTGCTGTCTCAAATAGCCCCACTGTCTCAAATAGCCCCACTTTACGGTACTCGTGAAAAAACATCAGCAATTTCTATTATACTAGTCAGACCAGACGGGTCGTCATCACAATCACGTCCATGTAAAATTTTCCCGTACGTTCAGTTTCTTCTGCATGCAATATTTTGTCTGACTTCAGTGCCAGCTTTTATGACCCAAACTCTCCAATCTCGGGGTCAAACACGGCTCCGTCGTTGGCTGCGGGCCCGACCCGACATCCCTGTTCCTGCGTCGCTCGGCCGGCGCTGCTCAGTAACCATGTTGCCTCGCGCGCCGGCCACCGCTGGCAGACGGCTGGGAAGCGGATGACCTCTGACCCCGACCCAGGAGGCCGCGCCGCCGGGTCAACCGTTCGGGTCGCCAGGCGAGAGTCGGCTGCGCGGGCCACATAGTAATGCAATGTAGCGCTGATGACGACGTCCAGGGAAGGACAAACAGTCGGCAGGCGCAGTGGCGAGACAGTAGCACAACTATCAACAGGAAAGTTCAGATAGAGCTACCTATACCTGTGGAACGCAAACGCACGAGCCGGATGTCCGTTCTGAATGCATGAAGCGCACTGTGGAGCTGCTCTGCGGTTACACCCTGTAACCGCAGCCAGTTAAAGCTGGTAACAGGGGTGGATTGTTTCCGACATCACCGGCGCGCTGAGCTTTGGCCTCAGAACCATCCAGCCTATCTGGCATTTCGCAACTGGATGGCAAAGAGAAATATCTGCTCAATGGATCGGTCTAGACGAATATAAAGAGGTGCTTCGTAGGCCACTTGCACTTCATATGTTTCATGTTGATTTAAACTAAATTTTATTTAAGTTTTGGACATTATGCAAATGCATAGAAATCAGAAACACAAGCACAGCACGAATTTCACGGAAGGTTGCTTTAAACTAAGTCTATTGACCACCCAAGAGATACACTGAACAAAATCCTGTAAATTTTATGCAAATATCAACACAGGACAGTATCCGTCTCCTACTGGAGGCTAGGCAAACATCACTAACAAATTCTTTCCCAACAAAAAGATGTTTGCGGGTAAAGCACTGAGGCACAAAGATCTCAATCAACCTCAAGCGAAAACACAAAACCTCTCCGAAAAACCTCGGCCCCGCTGAGTCGACCCATGCTTCTTTCATGGATGACCGAAGCCGTGGCTCCACCAAG